CTTGACAGCAACAACAGTTTTTAACTTCTTACCTTTGCCAAGTTGTGATTTTCACACTGGAAGAAAAATATCTTAAAAGAGCCAGTAATGCCCTCCAAACCTCAACCACCCAGATTTATCTATTTTTAATTCTCATTTTCACTGTAACACTAAATGAAACTCTCTAAACTTAACATGTCCCGCTTAGATGAGACATGCTATGCTCAGTTTGTTTTAATATAGCTTTCTTTATCTACACTGTAAATGTTGTAGTAGCTTGCTGGAATAATTTTGTACAAAAGTGAACCAGCAGTTTAAGAAATATCAAAAGTGCAACTTCCTCAGTTGTGAATAGAAATGAAAACATCATGAAATTTACTTTATACTAATGCTCCACGGTATCATCTGAACACAAAAATATTCAGAATACTTGGAAGAACTGCTCTACTATATCAGTACAAACAGCCACAGAACCAATTTTTCAAGTCTTTTACTGAATTGCTGTCTAAAGCTAATTTACCATTGCCCTGTTGCAAGCAGATCTTCCCAGTTCTTATCTACATAATGTGTCAACAAAAATACTGGATCCTCGAGACTCTCCCGTAGAAAAAGCATAATACAAGAAGATGTGTTGCTATTTCTGAACATATTTGGGCTGATGACAGGGTCATTTCCCTGCCAGAGATGCCATAGTGTGGTGCCCAGCACTGTTCTTACTGGACACAGGTGTAGCACAGACAACACTTCGCCCTGCAAGGATGGCACACAGCACATAACCATGCCCTTCTTCCCAGTTAACAGGGAGCAAAGGACAAAGCCACCTGACTTCCTCTGGGAAATACGCTCTTTCCATGGGATTCATTCCGTCCTCACTAACTCAAGAGCTGTTAGATAGGACTAAGGTTTTCAAAACATGAATCCAACAAAATTCGTATTTACATTCTGATTTTGAAGAGCTGCAGAACCACACAGCTTCTTCAAAATTTCTGAATATAAGTCCAGCTATAAATAAGCCCCCAGAATAAAAGCACATGTGCTTTTTATGAATCCAAAAAATTAAAAGATGCTGACTAGTCTCTCACAGCTGCAACACATTTTCACAGATGATAATGAAAAATTTAACTCGACTGGGAAACACACATAGTAAGCTCTTTAAATAGCATAAAGAAGAAAGGGACAGTGTTTTGGGAAGACAAAATTAATCATGCAATTAGTTAGTTACCTTTTCATTTTCTGTTCCAGGATCTGATTCACTGACTTTTTCTTCCTGGAAGCTAGTTCTCTCCATTTTTTCCATGCTCTGAAAAAACGCTGTTTTTTCCAGTCGGTTTCTGTTGTATCGTGTATTGATCTCTTCTAGCCTGTTGATCTTAAGTAGCTTCATACTATGCCCAGTTAATGTACTTTCTGTTTCCCTCTCTACCTTGGATGCGTAAACCAGCGAACACTCATAACTTCTGATTTCTCCTCCTTCTTGGCTGTACAAAAGAAAGATAAATAAGAGGTATCAGTGTTATTCATGCATTTTAGTTTAGAAAATCACTGTGGTTCCTCTAATTTGTATTTCAACTGTCCTTCCCGATACTTTCTGAACTAATACCCAAACACAGAGTTAACAGCACCAGCTGTTCACAGATGCTGTTCTACCTACTCGCCTACATTCAACACTAGATAATTCTAGCAGGCTACAAAACAAATTTAATTTAATTCGTTCACTGAAACCTTTTAGCTCTATCAAATCAATACATATTGCTATAGCTTGCAGATCTTGCTCATGGATCAAGCACCACCTTTTAACCACTTCGGTGGTTCTCTGTTGTTCAATGTGTTCTCCTTCCCTCTCATGCAGTTCCAGCAAGTTGACATGTAAGGACCCCTTTATTAAGTCCACTAAGACTTTTTATATTAAACAAAGTGGTTTAGGCCTGAACACAAGTCCTTTCCTCTCTTCCCACTATCCTATACCAAGGGAATAGGTAATTGCCAAAATGGTGATTATTTTGGGTCCTCTCTTAAAGGCTGCAAAAGACTGAAGCCTCCAGGTGGGTTCCTTCCTACTGTAGGCCTTCACTATGTGCCTACTGCTTTTATGATGTAGAATTATCAAGGCTTGTCTAATGGTAAGATTGTCTAGAAAGTTATTGCAAGTCAAGCTGTTAGTTTTGATTAATTCTCTGTAGAAGGGCTTTTATTCCACAGCAAGGTGGATTCCCCTGCCCAAGTAATCACTTGATTACACTTGGAAAATATGTCCTTTTGCACAGCTAATTTTAAAAGAGAAACTACTCTAAAATTTCACTTAACAACTCTGTGTAGACCCAGGAAATAGAGGACAAAAATATTTTTGTTGTTACTGCAACCCTTCCTTCACAGCACTGGAAACCCAGCTACAAAAGCATGGTGCTAATGCTTTAGCTGTATAAAGCTGAATCTGGTTAATTTCATTACACGGCTCTTGTTTTTCATTTTAACTTGCATAAATACCATAAACTATATGGTTTAATTAAGAATGTATATACAGCCTTACAGTCATTAGCAGAACAGAGAAACAGCTTTCAGTGTACAACCAGAAACCCAATTAAATCAGTTATTTTTACCTGAACACATTCCAACAGATAATGCTCCTGTGTTTTGACCCCACATGTGTGCACATGTAACAGATTAGATATATAACTACATCAGCTAACTGCACTGGCCGTAGTTAGCCCTCCAAACTCTTCCCACATGCCATCACATGTGATAAATGAGGTGACTTGCTAGTGGTGATGTTTATAGATGATGGACAGCAAAAGACAGGGCAACCCTGCACTTGCAAATGAGCCTTCCAGAAGGATTCCTGATACCATGTTACTTCAGCCCTAGAGCATGCTTTTAATACGAAAGGCAGGGACACCAGCATGGGACTGAAGACATTCATCATGTGGAGAAGTCATGCACCTGGTATGTTAAAATGCCAGGTTTGCTGCTTCCATCCTCCATCACTGGCTTTCATGCTCTTACATTCCTTTCCATCCCCTTCAGGTGAAAAGACACTTTACAAGATTTTCTTCCTGTTTCTCAAGAGGAGGTTCTTGAGTTATCCTAAATGTACTGACAATTGCATGTGACATACCACAAGAGCTCAGTATAACCTTTCAGCCATTATTCTACAGATCCTTTTGACCTACTCCACACCAAGTGGTGACTCCAAAGCTGTCAGAAAACATAGGTGATGTTTCCAGATGCCTGCCCGCTGCCTCCATGACTGCAGCTACCCAAATCTCACAGGATTTTAGAACAACCTGTCTCTGAAAGCTACATCTGGCCTGGCATGACTGCAACCAAGGAAAGTTGATTCAGGCTTTCCATAACTCTTCAAAGAGCACTTCATCCTCTAGGTTATGATCACCAAATGCAGCCATCCATCTAAGGAGAATGACATGTCCTACTGAAAGGACATGTTGTTCCTTCAAGCTGACCAATAGGTCAGTTATCTGGGAAAATATTAATGGGATGGAAAGCCTGAAGGTATTACTGAACTCTGTTACCAAGCAGAGACAAGGACGGAGTCCAAACATGACTGCCCTCTCCCCCATCATTACCTTAATATATCCCTGAAACAATAAGCTAAACAACAGAAACTTTCTGAAGTACACACAGCAAAATCTGTTTGCAAGTGCCTCCTCCACAGTCGCAGAGAAGCAAACCCATCCTGGTCATGTGCCACTGAGTAATGGGAAGCTATGGCCTTCTACTTTATTAAAAGGAAAAAGGGGGAAAAAAAGTTCAAGTGGGTGTTGAGCTCTGTTTTCCCCAAAGGTGGGTGAAAACCTTCCCCCATCATTTAGGTTCCCCAGCTCTGGCCTGGGACATGCTTTCTTCTGGTCCGTCTTCAGCAAACCAGTCTCTCTCTTTAAGCAAAATAGCTTGCTTCATGAAGTACATCTGCACTTACATGCTCAGAAACCAGAGATACATCATAAAAACACAGAAGCTTGCCCAGCTGTATGCACACGGGGTATATACCTACAGTCCTACTGCTTTTGCTACCCAAGAGCAGGAAAAATATATATTTTTGCACAATAAGAATATAAAGTAACAAGATTTGTACAATAAAAGAATAAACAATGCAGTAAATGTTTATAAAACTGGTCAGAAATGAAAACAGACATGCATATAGTTATCAGCCAAAAAGAAGAACCTACATATAACTCCTTTTTCTTTCATCATCTGTTTTTCGATCGTAACCCCTTCACAGCCAGAACTAGGTTCACATGACAGGCAGTAAAGCTCTTCACACAAAGCTTGGTCCTTTGGACTCCATCTTCTCTTCAAATAAAAACTTTCTTTCTGAGCCGTTGGCCATTTGCAAAACAGCCATTTTCAAAATTCAAGCCTGGGGACAAGTACTGTTAGCCAGTAGCCAGACTTGTTTACCTCCTAATACATCTTGACATTAGTCTGACCTGAATTTTACAAGCTGGAAACAATGATGTCACAGTATATAATTAAAACTAAATATACAGTTTAAGAAAGAAAACAAGTTGTAATGTGGAAAGAATTGCCAGTGGGTCGTGCTCAGGTGGTAAATAAGGATGCAAATGGTACCATTTACTGTGCTGTTCTTTCAAATACAACCTGCCCTGCATTCTGTGTAATACAAGAGATGTATTTTCTTTATTAAAACAAAACAGTTTATTGGTAGGTCTTCAACTGAGAATGAAGTTTTCACATATTTCAATGAACAGATGACCAGGTGGACCCCTAAATACACAGACCTTAGTAATATTGATCAATGTGACCCTGAAGTAGCTGGACCACACTTCAGGCCATTTGAATCAGGCCAATGCAGCCACACTGTTCTCCCATCCCTTCTGCAGGCTTGCGTGCGCAACCCCACTGAGGAACCACACTACCTGGAAACCTGCACACCGGAAAGCCACAGTGACAACCTCCACCCCCCTAGAATCACAGACCACAGAGACACTGCACATCCCAAATAGATTTTTCAACGTCTTATGTTAAGGTGGAAAACCAGTAGCACGGGCCACATATGGGCTAAAAGGCATCTGCCTCTGAGGAACTGACATAGGAACGCTCTGGGAACACAGGGGCAGAGGGTCGCCTCTCCTCAGAACACCATGTCGGTGGGGACACTGTCCCAGTCCTCACCTCGAAGCCTGCGGAGCGGGAAAACCGCACCCGCCCGTTCACGCGGCTAGGGGCGGGAGCGGGGCCGGGCGGACTACAGCTCCCGAAGGGCTGCGGGAGCTGAGGGCCGGCGGCCTCGCTTCCTGCTCCGGCCCTGCGGCGCATCGGCTCCCGATGGAGGTTGCTGAGGATGAGCAGTTGGTGCGGTGCCCCGTGTGCCTGCGGGAGCTGCCCGGCGCGCACATTAACTCGCACCTGGACTCGTGCTTGCAGGGTGGGGAGGATGAGGTGGAGCCGGGCCCGTCGACAACCTGCAAGCGGCAGCGCTTCACCGCTGCCCCATCGGGATCGGGCAGCCAGGTGGAGGGGGAGCCGGAGGAGGCCGGCCAGGCCACCGTCTCGTCCTTCTTTCACAAGGGCCGCAGCGGCGGGCAGAGCCCCGGAGCTCCTAGCAGGAAGAGCTGGGCGGGGCGGGAGGAGGCCGCCGCGGTGAAGCCGGAGGATGGAGGCTCGGCGGGTAGCGGGCCGGCGCCGCGGAGAACCCTGGCGCAGAAACTGGAGGAGAAACCTCTGGCCGAGCGGCTGCGGCCGAGCGCGCTGGGGGATTACGTGGGGCAGGAGAGAGTGCTGGGAGCGCAGACCCTACTGCGGAGCCTGCTGGAATCACATGAAATCCCCTCCCTCATTCTCTGGGGACCACCGGGCTGCGGCAAGGTGAGTGATGCCGTCGGGCCCTGCTGCCGCTGCTTCCTCTGTCCGGGCTGGCGGCGACTCGGTACCAGCCACCAGCCACGGGTGCACCCCGTGCAGTGGGGTTGGATGCTCCGGCCCTTCTCTATTCCATGTGGCTCTCGAGGCTGATGGACTTAAAAAGTGGGACCTGTTTATCTTCGATCTCGCTTTTTTTTTTTTTTTTCCTCTGGCTTCTTCTGCAATGGCTTAACTGATGCCCATTAGGTTTCACTTATATTACAAATTACACAACCTACCTTCTGAATTAAATAGAATTGGCTCTCCCCCACTTCAGCCCCACTCCCTATAGCTTGCACTTCAGTTGTACAGGCCCCTGATGGTTTCAGATAACTGAGCTTTTGTAAACTCCAAAACTTGTTACCTAAAACGCAGGCTAGGTAATTAAAAAACAGGATCTGTAAAACGTATAGGAAATGGGGTGAGATACCAGCAGATTACTACAGCAGAGTTTGCAAGAGCAGGATTTGGTTTAGCCACACGTTCTGGCCCCTAACAGAAGGCTGTGGTATGGAAGGGAGCTAGTGTTGTGGCCAGGCATGCAGTACCAGGCACACGTCAGGATCTGACTGATGTACTGGCTTGTTTTGCCTCTTTTAAGATGGCAGGAGCAGAGTGGTGAACCCTAAAAGGCAGTGTAATTGCAGCACAGCCATGAAGGGATCGGCAGCTATAGGAAGGACCAAACAAATGCTTCAGGTGTGATCAGGAGGGAACACTCAAAGATCTTGCCTTCATATTGTCTTTTTTCTCTGTATTTCAGATTGGAGGTGATGGGGGAAGCTAAGCAAGCAAAATACATGGTTATTTCTGCCAGTCTAATATGTGCACAGTGCTGAGTTGTGCATACTGTATATATGTATATGCTATATGTGAGAGCATGTGTGGGGTATCTGGGATGGGGAAGAGAATAACAACTGTAGCAGAAAAGTTGAGGACAGCAACACCTTGTACTTCTCTTACTTAAAGATAAAAAGAGATTATATATGGTATTTAATAATAATGCCAGTTAAACACAGTTGATAAGGACCAGGTATGAGAATAACTGATAAATTAGTACTGTTAGCAATGATGCAATGTGTTGTTTGGGCTAGATAACATACACCTGAAAAGAATCAGCTGGTGAACTTAAATAGTTGCCATGTCCTTTAAAATAATAAGATAATATTAGAAAGAAAGTGATAGGAGGTAAGGGCTATTCCTAAAAACTCTGTGAAGGGGAGGTGGATTGTCAGAAGATAATGGCCAGAGAGAAAAGTATAATCGAATTCTCTAATAAATTGGAATGTACCTTATTGAATGAATAACATGTTCAGGGGCCTGCTACTGTATTTATTCATATTCTTTTGCCTTTGCTTTCTTTCTGTCTATGTCAGCAGTGTGTGCTTGCTCTTTCTTGAAGACCTCTTTCCTTAGGAAAAAATGCTCTTACAGTGGTAACAAAACTGAATTTGGTGTTCCTTGGGTTATGATCTGATGAACTCATTTTTTGGCTATGGAAATGATTTTTCATGAGTTTGTGCCAGCTTATGATTGTGGTTTAGGTCTTCTTTAGGTCTTATTTTGTGACTTTGGATAAAAGGTGATCTGTTTTATGCCTGTGATAACACAGGTTTCACTCTCTCATGACCTGTCTTGCACACCCATATGCCTTATGTAGAGTTGTATTTAGTAAGCTCTCTTCTCACAGAATTTGAATTCTGCTACTCATCAGTCATGTGATTTGCATCAAGACTGTGCCTTTTGCCCTGTCAAGGAACACTTCCACAATTTATTGGTTACATTTTAACTCTCCGAGTACTTGAGTGTTGTGTAACTCCATTCTAGGTTACTCCTCCTCAATGAACAGTCTTGAAGCTACATGCTTTCAGCTAGCTCTGGACAGACTATCCATTACTGCCTGAACCAGCAGTTCCTAATGCAAAAGTTGAATTTTCCGTTTCACCTATACTTACCAGTATTTCTAGGATGGTACTGGAGTATAGTTCCGTCTCAGGCCTTCTATCCTGTAAATCATATTGTCTGTCTTGAATAGTTGAAAGTTCTTTTACTTGGGTATCATTTGTTAAATTTCTGTCCTTACAGATTTAACATGCAAGGCAACATAGTTCTCCTAAAGATGGAAGAAGTCTGGTTGCCTGCCTGCCTCATTCACTTACTGTTATGTATATAAGGTGTCTAAGAAAGCATTTCATGCGGAAGTAGCCTGTGAAGATGGGCAGATGAAAAGGAAGCCTATTTCTATTCTGATGTGAAGATTCGCAAAACTTAGTGCTTGAAAGTTGGAAGATCTTGTGAAGGAGAAAGAAATACTTTTATCTCCTCAGCACCTATGGCTAGACTGATGATCAAAAACTACTTCTGTTAAGTGCAGTCTTTTTCAGTGGGAGAAATACTAAGAAATAATTGCATTTTACATAGCTTCAAATGTAAAAAGCTCACGTTAAGTTCTGCCCATCAAAGAAAATAGTCTTGTATTACAGCGTAGGTGCTAAAATAAGAATATAAGTAAGTATGTTGGTCTAAATTCAGAAGTGCTGTATAAGATAGTCATAGTCTCCTTAAGCCTCTTCACACTCTTGCTACCCATGGAATTGGGTTATTGCAGCCTATCTATGTCTTTTTCCATTTTTACAGCCAACTGCCATGCTAACCAATCCTTTTTTTGAGAAAGGTAGAGCAGGGTTAAGTAAAAAAGATATAATAGCTGGAGATAGAATTAATTCTTTGGGCTGAATTTCAGATTGACGTATTACTTATCAGTCTGAACCTTTATAAGAAATAATAGTTCAGCAGATGTTTTCTAAAGAAGAGATTAATCTTGGGCATTAAACTGCTATAAATGCAGGATTTCATTCTGTAGGTCAAGAGTACTTTTGGAGAATTTTTATCATGAAAGCAATAAAGAAGTACCTGAGTAAAAACACATGTGCTTTGTACTGCTCTGCCCAAACTGATTTCAAGTTGCAGCTGCACTTGAATATTCAAGAAGCACAATCAAAATTTTAAAGACAAAATCAGGGTACTTCTGTTATACGTTTATTTTCTTCAAAGTTTCCATCTGTATTGAGTCTTCTTATTTTAAGGGAGCATGATCTTTACTTTTGTTATTCTGATTTCTTAGGAAGCCAAAGTGTCCTAGGTGAAAAGGTTTTGACTCTGGTTTTGTTTTTTACTTTTGTCACTATTAAGTGTTGAACACAAGAACGTATTTTCTGCTTTTAAGAAGCTGACTAGACACAGGCTAGAAGAAACGCTGCCTCAAAGAGATGCCGCAGTTATTAGCTTAGGAACAGTTACCTTGTTCATACTGACTATGCAGGTTTTTAAAAGCCTGTATGAATCCTAGTGTAATCTGAGTAAGCCATACTGTGATTTATGACGCCTTAATACAGGGATTTAGATTTTTGCTTGTCTGTTGTGGGTCACCAATTTTAGTAAAGAGTTAGCAGAGGGGACACAGTGAAACTTGAGCACTGAATAATTTTGCTGACACAGATATGGTTTAAGACTTATAAACCTGAACATTCTGTATTTAAAGACTGTAAACATTACCTTTTATGTTTGCTGTTTATCAAGAAAAACATGTAGTCAGCAACCTACAAAACCCTACAAAAGATAAGTCAAAGAATATTCATGCATACTTTTCTGGGGTCCACTCTGCAGTCTAGTACTAAGGTAAAATATGCCATGGTTGATATGAGTGTACAACATTAAAACACCCAGTAGGTGGTCTGCAGTTGCTATGAAGTCTCCACTGAGTTTATATTTTATTTCTAGGATGTGCTTGTATTTCTTTTCTTTGTTTTTTATTGAAGACTTGTTATATGGCACATTGAAACACAAACAGCAGGTCCAACTTATATTTTTTTTAATTGCGTATTTATAATCTATTCCCTTCAGAGTTTTCCATTTTGCTGATTCAAGAGATAACCTAAATAGCTATTTGATTACTTGAGTATATTTCATCTGCTCTTACTCCTATACCTTGGGGCCTGATTTGTAATGAGTTCCTCTGATTACCATGAGATTTGTAACTGAGAATGCATAACGTCTTTTACAGTAGTACAGAGTGAAAGTCCAGAACAACTCGGAAAAATGTGATTGTCTTTGCAGTTGCCTGGGAGCAGTCTTCGAATACAGTATGCTTGATTTTGTTTATGCCAGTCTAAATCAAGAATAACTTACAGTAGCTCTGTAGGAGGAGAAAACTGTGAGAGCAACTACGCTTGTACTTACAAAGCAGTTAGATAAAAAGAAGCGAATCCAGATGCAGCCAATGGAGGTACTGCTCCCTTTCAGTAAACCTTATGCAGTGACCTTGCATCTGTTTATGGTTGGCTGGACTTGGATTCTGGAAGTGCAGTAAACCACATGCTGTTGCTGTTGTTCAGTGACACCTTATTCCTCTAGTAGTCTCCCAGTGGGCTATTTGGGGTGTGAGGAACCAAACAGGGTGGGTAAGAATAGCATCTGCCCTTATATAAATGCCAACTGCTGCCACATTTGATTGTGTTTATCTCTATAGAGAGTGTCCCTGGGCCTCGTCCATCAGCTATCCTGACAGTTTCCTTTAGACACAGTGTGTCTGATCTCCTGTGATGCAGTGTGGTAACTCAAAGTCAGCTCAGCAGTGTTGGGTAAGACAGACCCCAGCTTTTTAAGCTGCATCCTGGGAACTGCTCCCCTGACTGGCATCCAAGTATGATGGTGCTGTTGGTGTCTAACTGAAGGCCGTGAGATAGAGAGTGGGCTTTCCTAACTGCTTGTTGGCCACAGTATGGCCCTAATGCCCTCAAAGGGAGGATTGAGGCTGAGAAGAGGCAACACCGTGTAACTAAAGATACAGAAATCCTGGCCAGAATAGAGGAAGAGGGAAAAACACAGGGAAAGTCATGGTCAGAGGGCAGTGGAAGAAAGCAGGATGCCAGTTCACAGCTCTGTTGATGTAATCTAGATGCTACAAGTCTTTAGGCATAGCTAGCTTATTGGGCTTGTGTTTTGCACTCGGATGACAGTTTTTATCAACCCTGCCACAAACATAATTCACACTGTAGCTTGCTCTGGAACAAACCAGCAAAGTTACTTGCTTGGAAAGCTTGATGGCAACTATATTATCCTGCTCAGGACTAACTCATGTTGAGCTGAAGTCTATGCGCTAGTGCAGATCTGTGTCAGTTCTAGTTTGGTCACCTAAATGTAGCAGACCATACAACCTTCTAGACTTCTTTAGAAAAGTATGTATGTTGGAAGGGCCTATCCAGGTGCCAGGACAGCTTTTCACAGCTTCACTGTGTGCCTGTGAAGTGTGGTATGAACATCAGCTCCTCCTGAAAAGGCTGTGAGAGGTGAGAAGGGTCGTGAAGCTGGACCAGAATGACTGTGAGCTGTCCTGTGCACATTGCAGGAGCTCTCTGACATGACTGCTGAGCACAGTATAGATGTAAGCTAAGAGACCATGCATTTTCTGTGACTGATACCTAGAATGGCAACTTTGCTAAATTTATTTGTTTTAAGAATAAATAAGGCAAGTCTCCATGGACAGGTAACCACATAGATCCCTAAACCTGGTCTACCTGATCTTCCACCAGAGTGAGGTAAGAAGGACCTCAGGTTTCACAGTCAGCTTCTTGACTGGAGTCTTCTTGACTGTGATCTGACCATATACGCTGATGTCTTCCCAATTTTTTCAGTTCTACTTTCTGAAGACAGCTAGGCAATACAGCTATGTATTCCTGGAAGGGACTTTGGTGAGCTGATGCAGTTTAATTGCCTGGTAAAGAGGTGCAAAAATTAAAAGACCACCTTTCAGTTAACGGTAGTCATTGAACATCAGTGTCAGAAGGACAGGCTTAGTTTATACTTGCTTTTTACTGTTCCAGCTGTTGGTGTGATGTTGCACTGACTAGTGGTAACACAGAGAATAGGGAAATATGTTACACTCAAAGTTGCTTAATCAGGGGAACTTGTGGATATACAGAAAATTCTTGTCTCCTAGCACAAACATCCAACTAAACACAACAACAAATTGATCAATTTACCCCTCTGACAGCAGGAGGTGTGTGAAGCCAAGCACGCTGTGAGTTACTGTTGTTTCATCCACAGCTGGTGTCAAAGCCTAGTTGCTGGGAGTGGGCTGGTTTTTCATTTGGTGGGTTTTTGTACATCTTGGACAGTTGCAGCCTTTGGGAAAGAATATTCTTATTCAGGCTGACATGAAGAAGTTTGCAGGATGGTGAAGGAGAGTATTTGTAGTTAAGCTTTTGTGTAATGGATCTGAAAATAAGTGGCTATAGACTCAATTCATTGGTGAGTAATGGTTCGTGAGATTCTTGGTGGGTATGTTTCCACATTTCAGAAGACCTTATTCCATATCAGATTTTCAGTTTTCTTCTTATCCCTCAAATATAATGCCCCTGAATTTAGGGAGAGAAACTAGAGGTTTAGCATACAGGTTGTGGTTCTCCTGTGCTAGTGCTTTCCTGCTTAGGCTACCCTGCTTAAGTCTCCACTGGGTTATATGTTCCCTAGGTTGTAACCTGATAGCAACAAAAAGGGAGAAAACAGCATAGTGTGTTACTGAATTTTGCTTAAGGTAGTAGGAGAAAAAAAAGCATTAAAAAAATGGAGTGTATGAAAAATGAATAGTTTTCAGAGGACTAGGGAAAGTTCAGCCTGTATGTGATGGACAGTTTGACTTGCTAAATGACTGATTGTGCAGAACAGAAGATAGAGGTCATGAACATGCCAATGTTGAGCACTGCTTTTGAAAGGCAATGTATGTTATTATTACAACCTTTTTTGACCCAGAAGTTGGCAGAGTGGGAGAGGTACATGCTGGTTGGGAGCTATGCAGCAGTTTTCAAGTAGGTTTTTGGTCTAATAGTAACTTTCAAACAAACCTCTTTGCATTTATTTTTTTTTTTCCTAAATTAGGAGTAGAAATACGGACTTCTGTACATATGTTTAAAACCCATTCCTGGCTGCCTTTTTGAAACAGTAAATCTATCTGTGACCTGGTGAATGAGGGCCAGGATGCAGTATGAGCTACCAGTTTGGGCGGAGCTACAAGAATAATCACTTGATTATTCACCACCACTTTTAGAGAAGTAAGAAGTACATTTTTCCTTTTTCATCCTCAGAATTGATGTATTGGGGGTTTCCATGCTTTCAGTGATTTTTTTTTTTTTTTTTTAAGGCATGGGTGCATTCTGTATCAAGACACTTATAAGGAAACACCAACTTTGGTTTTGATAGTTTAGTTTCAAAAATAATTTCACTTCTGGTTTTCACTTTCCCAGATCTTCCTGATTTCTGTAGGCTTTGCTGCAAATGCTTTCCAACATGTCTTTCCAGTCATGTCTTCCTAGCAATATATGGAGGGGAAGGACTGGTGCTTTGAGCTCCAGGGGATGAAAGAGGATCTAACACAGAATGCGAGTCTTGCATTGGGATGTGAAATGGCACCTGTTCTGAACACAATCAGGAAGCCCTTGCTAAAACTAAAGCAAGAATAAATAGTGACACATCCTTCCCCTTAGCCTCCCTTTTCCCATCTTGGGCTGGTTGCCATTCCAGGGATGAGGAGATACATTAAAGAGGCAGCAGTGCTGCAAATGCCACTGGTAGCTATGTAGTAGGTGGTTGCTTCTGCAGCCTCCCTGCAAGAGGATCAGGTTAGCAGCACCTGCTGCTTTAACAACGGTACTTGGAGTATCTTCTGAAGTGGTTTGTCAGCACCTGTCCCTCTCCTCATCTTCTGAGGCTACTGTCTTCAGTCTTCCAGGGCAGCTCCTGTGCACAGAGTGAGCTCAGTGGCAAAATGGCCTGTTTTTCTCTAGCAGTACTTTCCAATGGAGGTGTGCTCTGCTTGGCACATGCAGATATGCCTGCCTTTATTCAGGTTTTGAAGGAAAGTCTAAAAATTATACCTGTGAAGTGTTCAGATATAGTAAACCTGCCTGGGAGGTAGTATGTAAGGTTGCTTCTGTGCTTTCGTGGGCTTATTGACATTCTCTACAAATAAATTGATTTGCAAAAGTTATCTTTAAGGAAAGAAAACCAACACAGCTGCTCACAAAAACCTGCCAGTGGTTTGTTAGGTCAGCTGCCTTTTACTTCCCTAGGCCAGCATTTAATTACTGTTGATACTTTATAGAGAGTTATATTTTCTGAAATGTACATAATAATTTTTCAGTGCTAACATTCTCATGTTTTTGTAGAGAACTGCTGTTTGGTTAATTTCGTTTTTATCTGCAGTGGAAATAGGAGAGGCTTTAGTTAACAACACTGTGGCTTTTTATTTATTAAATGTGGTTGCACTGTAAACTCTGCTACAGGTGTCCTGGGGTAGTCCAGCTCTTTATCTGTTAACATTGTGTAGACAGAATATCTGCACTGTGAATTCAGTCAGCCCGTCTCCTGTGACAGAAATGTATTTGGCAAAGATTTCTTCTTCCATGGTAAAGGAGACAGCTGTCATTGCTGGCCTTTTCAGTATTGAAACTGAATAGGTTTGGTACGTAGAAGTGCAGGCATTAGAAATGCAGCAGTGGAATTGGCAGCTACCTCTAGCAGGAAGTTTTTAAGTCTTCTGTGTTCTAGAGTGGTATGAACTAAAATACTTTATAAACTGTCAATGCTATCCCTTATGTCTAGAATAAATAGCTTTGTTCTTCACATACTTCCTTCAAATGAGTACTTTCTGTGTCCAAAAAGATTTTTACAGAGCTTTCTCCTGTTGCTGTTTCAGACTACACTGGCACACATCATAGCCAACAGCAGCAGAAAGAACGGCACGTGGTTCGTGACACTGTCGGCCACCAGTGCCAGGACAACTGATATTCGAGATGTCATCAGCCAAGCTCAGAATGAAAAAAAACTCTTCAAAAGAAAAACCATCCTCTTTATTGATGAGATCCATCGTTTCAATAAATCTCAGCAGGTATTGTACTACACTACTTTTTGAAAAAAGCCTTTGCCAACACTGCTGTATCATTTTCTCCCTTTACCTTAATATGAAAGCTTACTTTGGGCTTTTGATTTTAATGTGAAGTATTTTAGTAGATGAATTGGGGATAAACATAAAAATTAAGTTCCATAACTAACTCCTGATCTGTGTTTAATTATTGTGGTTCAAAGGTTTACATGAAAGGCTGAGCTATTCTTATAGTTGACTTACATGCCAGGCTTTACATCAAGTTTTTCTGAAGTTTTATTTCTGCAAAGTCATGTTAGTAGTCTTTTCTGCACATCTCTTCATTTCAGCCTCCGCTGTGGGGGTAGCACTTTGCATTACTTTTAAAAAGGTCTGGAATGTGAATGTGCTGGAGTGGGTATGTGTTTTAATGTTGTCTCCTCTTCTCTGTGAGAAAAATAAGGCATGGCATGGTACTTCAGGGTAACCCATTGCTGCAACCATCACTTGAGTGTTTGTTTTTTTCCTTTTTCCTTTCCTAAGTTTTCTTTAGTCATACTATGGAAAGCTTGAATTCTATATTACAAGTTACAGTTATTGAACTATACTGCAATCTTCCTATAGTTTTCTGAGCCATGCTGTAGAATTATGTAGGGAATTGTAGCCCTAAAGGTGAAGTAGCCCTATTATTTGTTATATTTGATAAGACGATTCCACAGTATCTTGTTTGTCAAGCAATAAACCAAAGTGACAAAAATAAACTAAAAACTTGCGAATTTTTATGCTGTTTCTGGTAGAGTCATTCTTAGTACAAGTGTGAGTTATTAAGGTGAACAGCCCGTAATGTGCTGTGTGTATGAAATTAAATCATTTAGATAGCTGAGCTGATGAGCTGCCTTGTCAGTGAGGTTATTTGTCATACCAATAGGGAACCCAAAGACTCAAGACACAAAAAATGCAGCCTACTCACATGGTATGTTTCAGATTGTCATTGATGGAGATCAGCTTTTTCTGCTTCCCTCCCATCCTCAGGACACTTTCCTTCCTCACGTTGAGCGTGGGACGTTGACTCTGATAGGAGCGACCACTGAAAACCCTTCTTTCCAAGTCAACGCAGCTCTTCTGAGTCGATGCCGGGTGATTGTCCTGGAGAAGCTCTCAGTTGAAGCGATTGAGGCGATTCTGATGCGGGCTGTCAGGTCCTTAGGGGTCCAGATTTTGGGCCAGGGTGATCAGCACAGCAGCTCTGCGACTGGCAGCAGCAGTGAGAGCTCAGAGTGAGTACTTTATGGGCTGCAGGGTGTTAATGCACACAGCCTGAGGAATTGACTGCCTGCCAGGGAGAGAATGAAGCAGTTGGGGGTGGGAAGAGAAACCCTAGCCACTTCTGATAGTAAAGAAAAAAAGTGGCAGCATATGGCAGGGGGTGACAGGAGAGAGAGAATTCAAAGCACTGGCTCTCTCCATCCAAAACATAATCTCACCGTCTGGATTAGGAGAGAGTTGTATACTTGGATCTGTAGCTCCTGACTCACCCTCCTAGGATATTTAAATCTGTTCTGCTGCTGAGGATTTGCTGAGGAAGCCTCTAACTATTTATTTTCATGTTATAATGTGTGTTACTTCTTGCTACTGGTTGTAAAAGCATCATGTTACTATTAAGTAGTGGATGGGGCATCCTCTTTTAATTTAATTTGGAAGTGCCTGACAAAAGTTTGTTGTTTCCTGAGAATGCTTTTTTTTTTTTTTTGTAAGATCAAGAAGGATTCTACTGTTCTTTAGCTGCAGGAGAAGTCCTGTGGTATGTTTCACAGTATGCTGTGGGGAGAGGGGGCTGTTGCTGTGAGGTGTTAGTAGACTGTTTTAAGAGAGACTTTGTTTTTATCAATTCCTTGTTGCCCAAGCCAGATAAAGTCATGTTAAACATTTGGGAGAGTTCTAGAAAAACCAAGGTCCAGATTTGTCTGTAAAGGATGTTATCTTCCTTCTGAAGTGGCTAGCTGCCAAATAAGAATAATGCTTAGTACTGTGCTACTTTCATGCAAGTTACTACACTTCCTTGATATTGTTGCTTGCCTGTACTCCTAGTAATTTAGTGTCTTGACATGGTGGTAATTGGGTGGGTACTCCATATGAAATAAGTGAGAGGGAATCAACTTTATCACAGAATGGAAGCCCTAAGAATTGCTAACCTGAACGCTGAGGTCAGGGCAGGGAAGGAAAGCTATTCCCTTTTTTATTTTTAGGGTACACTGCCTCATGGTTTACTCATTTGTAGCTTTTACGTATTGCATTAATGTGATTTTTAGAAGAGAGGACAGTACTGCATGTCAGCCTTAATGTAATGGCACAGCTGTGGTTGTGGCTACACCCTAACTGGGGTTTGGAGACTTTCCTTTCTGTACAGGATTAGAGTACAAGGCATAGTTTCAGCTGCAGTTGTTTGGGTTTGGGTTTCGCGAGACTCTTAGTATCTTTAACCTTCCGTTAGCTATGGATGATTTAAACAGCCCAGTGTGGTGCTTCATCAAACTGAAAGAAATATGACAGTCACACTGTCAGGCTAGCGCAGTTTCAGAAATCTATCCATGGAGAGAGAGGGCCCCACTCTAATGGGGGAGCACAACCATTTAAAAATAAAAATGTGGTTGTTCAGAATTTGGAGCGTTTGTTGCTGTTGTATGTTAAGTCTTTCTTGTCTTTCCTGCCCGTGATTCTGGTCTGTAGTTGATCTATATTGTTGCTGGTAAGTTTGTATTTTTATAAGCCATCCTATCCCTTGCTGTGGTTCTGGTTTCGAGCTCTTTTTTAATTCCTTGCTTTGCTGTACATACCATTTCTGTTCCTTCATTTCCCCTCCACCTACTACTCTGCAGGAGCAGCTGTGTCTTGTTTTTTACCTCCTTATCTCTCTGCCTCTATGAAGTGGCGCTTTCATTACATGCAGACAGGTAACAGTGTTTATGTTGTCCTGAGGAACGAAAGTCACCAATTACAGTTGAACTGGTTGTTCACTGTGCTTACCTTTGTTCCAGAGTTGGAAAGTGGCATGTCCACTTTAAGAATGCTTCATGGATATAACCAAAAGGCACAAAAGATGTGTACATTGAAGTCTGTGTTTCATTTAACATATGAATCTCCCATCTCAAACCATGGAAGTGTCGTATGAAGTCATGAATGTGCTACTTGGCTTCAGTTTATCACTGAAGTATCACATCACTTGTCTGGTATGATGGCTGATCTAGATGAGATTTTGAAGAGGATAATTCTTTGTGGTCTCTTCTGTTACTCTGAGGAATAAGTGGGGGTGAATCTTCTGTAGTCTCTACAGGCATCTTCTGTGCTCAAAGAGAATGCAGCTATCACTGAGTGACTCGGTAGGTTTCATTGTCTCTGCACTCCATGCACACATAGCAGTTACAAAAGGAAAGTGTACTCTACCCAAATCTCCTTACATTTTCTTGGTGGCTTTTTCTTACCCTGATTTTCCACCATTGCTGCAGGTCTCTGATAAGGTTAGGTCACCTGGCTTCTGTTTCATCCTGCTGTGGCCTTTTCTTGCTGGAAAGCTAAAATAGAACTAGCAGGTGGTATCTACTTTGTATGTTGTGTCTTTGTACATCGTGCTCCCAAAGCTTCTCTGACAGGTTTTGTAGTAGTTACTTGATTTCATTAGCATAAGATGTGCTTTTTGTTGTATTTTCATCAACTTTACTGCCAGCAAATTGTGCTTTTCAAAGTCTGCAGCAAATTATGCTGAAAGATGGGAGAATGTGAGAGGAAGAAACATACTTGTGAAGAAGAAAAGTAAGGAAAAGTCAGTGTTAAATACTCTTTATATTGCTGAAACTTTGCTTGTGCTTTCTCAAGTTTTACATTCAGTAATAGCACAAACTGTACCAGCTGTACACTGATACACTACACTTGTACTGTCGTAGTGATAAAGGAAATAAAATTCTTCTTTTCTTGGCTTTTTATTTTTATCACTGAAGTGCTGCCCTCAAGAGTGGTATCTCTAATTCAAGTTGGACAGTAAACTGGATGGTGGATTAAAGTATTCGAAGCTAGATAGCACAGAAGGTGCACAACCGAGGGAAATGAAAGGATCCCTAGTTTCCTGTTGGCAAGCCCAAATATCAGGCAGTTCACCTTGTTAGTGGCTGTATTACAAGTACTAACAGGTTTTAAATTCACTATTTTGTAAATCACAGTGTTGAAGATGGGCTTCCTTTGGGTGTTGACTGTTCAATACCATTCTGAAAATTACTCCATTTTTGGAACATCCATCCAATTTCCTTGCATTAGAGTTGCTGAGATGAGAGGCAACATTCAAAACCAGTGCTGTAAGGTAGGCAACAATGCATATCATGCTGCAGTATTTCAGTTGTAGAACTGTATTTGCCTGTAGAAGTGTTGCAGTCTGTTGGGTGAATGTGTAAGAATAATTGTATTGAGAAAGTAAGAAAGTACTGATTTATATGTGAAAAAGAAACAATGGGTACTTTATCTCATGTTCTGCTCTTTATTCTTAAATCTTTCATCATACAGGTTCTCCTTGCTTGGACCTCCTTCTATTTACTCTCTGATATTGCTTACACTTTCTTGTCACTGGTTCAAGTACTGCAGTGTTATACAGGTTTTCTGGGTACTTCATCATAGAATTCATGTTGGTTCTTGGCACATAACTCTCTTGAGGGTTTGGTGATAAGAAGGAACTGGAAGAAGGATTTATTATCCTGTAGTGGTTGTTTTCCATTCCTTAAGCTCAAGCAAGTGATGGATCCTGTGGCATCCCATGTGGCTTGTTTATGTTTTTGTCTCCAAGTATCACCAGTTACAAGTACCAACATTGAACACTGGCATCCAGTGGGTGTTCAGTGTTAATTTTCGAGAGTCCTAGATTGAAACTGGAGAGACAGAAATACCACTCAACTTTCCCAGCTTCTAATTGTCAAATAAATGGTAAAAGTACTCTGAGGCCTCAACTTTGGGACAGAAGACTGTTCTTAGTTGCTTGGAAGCACACTACCTGACTTTTAGTGCTCTCAGCTCTTCCCCTCCACTTGCAGTTGCTGAGTGCAGTTGTGGGTATCAGTGTATGGAAGCCTCAAGCATGCGGTGTTCTGGAAAAAGCAAGCAAAGAGCATAGTCACTGCAGGTGAAGCCTTCACTTCACTCTGTCCTGCTGCTGTATCCAGAGTGTTTGGTCAGTGTGCAGCATTATTTGGTTTTGTTCCCTGCTGATGGAGGTGTTAGTAGCAGGATGTCTGTGTGTAGTGCCTGCCAGGTTTTTAAAAATAGCCTTTGCTTTCTTTGTTGTCTTCTTTCATTGCATACAGAGAAATCTTGTGCCTGTCTGTAGTGCTGAGGTGTGAATGTTGCTCTGTGATTTTCAAGGAATGTAATAACAGTATATGGTTATTTTGTTGCAGACTTCCAGTGTACATAGAGGAGAAAGCTCTAAAAACCCTACCCTACCTGTGTGACGGTGATGCAAGGACTGGACTGAATGGACTCCAGTTAGCAGTTCAGGCCAGATTAGCAATGGGGAAGACAACTCCTTTGAATATTCCCAAAGGTGGTTCTACAGATGGCATTCTGATAACAGAAGAGGATGTAAAGGAAGGGCTACAGCAGTCTCATATCCTGTATGACCGAGCAGGTGAGTACCTGATACAGTTTCTGATGTGCAGCGTTCTCAAGAACTGATAACCTCTATAATTCCTGTTTCTTCTCCCCCTTTCCTACTAGCTCCTCTGATGAAACAGTGATTGTACTGAAATTTGGACTAAAAATTACTTTTTCCTTTATGGTGTAGCAGGCTTACCCAGAACTTCCTTCTGAACAGGGTTTTCTCTTACTGGTTAGGAAGTGTGGGTTGGCTGAAAGACCTTTGCTGCCCAGCAAACAATTGCATGTGAAATCATTTGTTCTTCAAGGTTACTAGAATATTATCTTCAAGGGTTGCAGTGCAAAGAATAAGAAGTAATTGGATGAGGTGATTTGTTCTTGGAGGGTTGGAAATCTTCCATTGCACTTTGAAAGTCTTGGAAGTGTTACGTTTGCAACAATGCTATGTGAAAACCTGAGCAGTTTGCTTTGTTTTTAGAGTTGCTTTTTAAGGTAGCGAATTTTGTAGCTTGCTTAGGGCAGGTCACATAAATGTAGTTGCATTTAAAGCTTTCTAGTGTGATAACCACTCTTGCTAAATAGTGACTTAACAATGTTAGCCATCAAAATAGTTGGCCGCTATGCCATTTTGTGTGAGAGTGTTAAAAATTGGGGAGTGAATTTTAGAGAGTAGGTGAATCTGCTTGAATGCATATACTAGTTCTTCAGCATGCATGAATCATGGTGCAGTGTAGTATCAAAAGATTGTGCCAAGCAGTATTTGGGGAACTGATTGACTTCTGTTCTGCCACTGTATCTGATACCCTTAGTTAACTGTCACTACTCAAAATCTGTGCTGAGATATTTCTCAAGGTTGGTTGTAACACATATGCGTGCTTGCAGCCTGCTTGCAGCCCTCTTGCTACAAAGAGGAAATGATGGCTCATTGTCAGGAAAGTCAGCTGGGCAGATACTGGTATGATGGCAGCTGAGAAACTGAGAGTAGGCGGGGGGAGGGAGAAGAAGAATTTCATGGGGTCTGTGGCAGGAAGAATTCTGATTAGGATGAAGGGGAAAATCTGACCAGTTTATTGGTGCAAGTACCATGATGCACAGCGTATGTCCCTTATGTGCTCGCTATTGCCTTGTGGCCACTGTTACACAGAATTCTTGGCTATGTCCGTTGCTTCCAGCCCTCCTACCACTGTTTGCTCTGCTAGAGACAGGACAGACTGCCTCTTCCTGAGGCTTGTATCAAGTGTAGGTAGTATGTGTCAGTTCTTTCTCCATAACAGAAATCCTTCAGGTTCTGTGTAGTGTGTTGTGGTTTTGGGGTTTTTGTCAGAGATTTTCAGAGACATGTGAAAGCAGTGACAATTCTGTTTCTCTTGATTGTATGAATGCCAGAGAGCCTGCCACAGAGAGTTACTGCACAGTAACAGGTTGCCCAAGTACATGCCTTTACAAAATTTCTCTCTTCCCTGGAGTAGTCATGTCTTGGATGACAGACTTTTGTCTGTAGCTGAGATAGCTGTTTGTCCTTTTATGTACAGAGGTCTTCTGGATAGAGGCTAGTATATAAAGATATCTTTGTAGCATGTTTCAGCCAATACTTCTCGAATCACCTTTGTGGTGGTGGAGTCTACAATTCTCTGAAGTGTTTCAACCTTGAAAAAGAGAGGAATATGATGCTGTCTAATCGTGATAGTAGCAGCATACATTTGAGTGTAGTGTGTTCACACAGAAAGCACCAAATAATTGCTTAGTGTTCAGTCAGAGTTGTGTAAATATGGAATTTTGACTTTTATATAATTATTTTTTGTAAAATTCTTTAAAAGTTGCCAGGTAAGCGTAGCTGGGCATTGGTTTATGTACTTTCACGAAGTAGTCTGGGAAGGAAATGATTTGTAATCCAGTCAATAGGCTGTTGTTCTGATCTGCATACAAACACCTAAAGACAAGATCTTTCTGCAGATAATCTATGCATTTTAGCTGAAAGGACAAAGAAACGGCTCTAGTCAAATTTCACTGCCAGCAACGGTCTGCAGCCCTTGCAGTGTGAGAGGAAACAAAACTTTTTATTCATACTTTAGCTTTTAATTGCAGTTTTTAGAAATTTCATTTTTGGAGAAAGTTACTCAGCAACCAAATTAAAGTTTAACTGCAAATGGACAGCAAATAGTTTTTTAAGATAGAGCTGTGTTGTCTCTTCTTCCTCTTGTGTATAAAATTAGCTAATACTGATTTTATAGAAAATACCAAAGATAAATATCGAACAACTGTAGGATTTTGTCTTGCTGTCTGTGCAGTAACGTAACTTCAGTTATGGTAAGCATATGTTACCACTTATGGTAAAGACTGGGAATATGTTAAGGTGAGGTTAATTTGTTCTGTAATCTGGAACATGGTTGTTGCTTCCACTTCTGTGGAGGAGGAAAGGGAAGGTGTCTCATGCCAAGATATTTTTTGCCAGCTTTATTGTTTTCTGCAGAAGTCTTTTTATTCATGTCATCGCTCTAGTCTTTCTTTCAAGGCTTTCTTCTGTCTTTTGTCTGTGAGCAGCTGATGTTTACTTTTGACTAAGACAGAAATAATGAGATGGGGATGTGATTTTACTTTTGCCCACTACCTGATAAATATGGATTGCTTAAGGAGTCCAGATACTAATTACAGTCAGTGAATGAAGTCTTTTCGCCATCTTCTACCAGTAAGACTTTAGAGAAATCAGTATCTTAAATTAACTGGAAAACCCTTTGTGAGTGCATAAAGCAATTTAGGGGGATAAATCAACAAGGTTTATGCATTACACACGAGAAAATCCTGTCCTCCCCAAAGCCTCTTGTGTACTATCTTGTTTCTCTTCAGAAAGGTATTTGCCTGTGTGGAAGCTGCGCAAATGTATTTCGAGTCCAAAAATTCATTAGAGTTTTGATTTCAAGAGGCATCTAGGATGCAGAACAGCAATTATAGATAAGTTTGCTTGTGTCTATCTCTCCACGAAATCAGTAAGGCCAAAATCTGTGTTGGCTAACCAGCCTGAGAGACAGAGCTAGTAAGTAAAGGTCTCTAAAAAGTTCTACTTTTCTTTTTCACTGCTTCTGGTATCTCACATTGAATATATGTAAACTATACTTAAAAAAAAAAAACCCACATAAAACATCTTTGTCCAATGCACGTAACTATTTTGCCTTTAATCAAAATTGCATTTAAGGTAAAACTGCAGTTTTGTTGAAGCCCTACTCTAGTGTGTAAGTATTGTCTTTATGTCTGACTTGGTCACCAACGTTAGGTTTGTGAGAAAAGGAGATAAAGGGAGAAAGCTGTCCCCTTTCTCAGCTTACATATTCTGAAGTCCTTTGCAGGTTTATATAGAATCATAGAAAAGTTAGGGTTGCAAAGGACCTTAAGATCATCTAGTTCCAACCCCCCTGCCATGGGCAGGGACACCTCACACTAAACCATCTCACCCAAGGCTTCGTCCAACCTGGCCTTCAATACTGGCAGGGATGACATATCTGTAGACCCAACCTATCTGCTGGATTTCCTCAGCCTCTTCAGCTGGTTTCCCCAGATATGACACTTTACAGTAGCCCAGACAGTGTATAAAAGCACTCCAGAAAAAAAGAACTCTAGGTGAGTGCAACCTCTGGAGATATTTAAAGGCCATCTTCCTTACTTTTAAGAGACCAAGAGACGCCTCTTCCAAGAGGACTATGTGAGTTCAGCTGCTTGAGTTTATTGCTACTCACTCAAGTGTTATGACAGAGCACAGACACGCTGTTTGTGTTGGCACGAGTAATGACTGCATACCGCACGGCTCTTTGTGTGGAGTTCTAGCAAAAATAGCTGTCTGCCAGCCTGCGTACAGCAGCAGCGCGTGTTGAATTCCCAACAGAACCACACTGCAGCATGAACAGTGATGCAGCAAGATGGACCCAGTTTCTGACCTGGGAAGCGGAGGTCTTGCTGGCTATCAAAGGAGCAGTTGCAGCGGTATCTGGGCTTTGGTTTTCAAACTCATGCATGCAGCCTTTTATTCTGCAGGGTTTACAAGTGACAGTGATGTGTTCTGTTTCGGCCCTCTGGCTGTAAATCCTTTTAGCGGTAGGAAGAAGAGAAATATTAACAGATGGCGGTGCATGCAGCCAGTTGCCTTTATAAGACATGCTTAGCTGTGAGCCAAGGAATGCCAGGCACTTTAAAAAATAAAAAGGGCAGAATATGTGGAAAGTTTAACAATATTGCAGCAAAATACTCTTGGAAGTTTAAGAGAAATGCATAAGAATCAAAACCAGCTGAAGAGAGAAAAATTGTAAGCAGGAAGGGTCTCGTTCAGTATTTGTGACGTTGACCTTCTGTTGACTGTAGCCCTAAAAGGTCTGTGGAATGGCTTTGTTTCTCACTTGGAGTCCATATAAGATTTTTACATTAGAATTTAATGTAAAAAAAAATATATGTTCCTTGTAATCTGTTCGTCTTTCCACTCCTTATTAGCAGTCTGGCATTTCAGGTTTTGTTTCAGCTGCTTACAGTTTCCAGGACCCTTCCAGGGAGACAGGTGCCTATAATTGAACTCGATGTTTCTTAGGGGTTTGCCAGGGCTATGTACTGCAGTGCTGTTCCTTCAAATTGTGTGATGTCTCACCATTGTTTATCCACTTCAACATTTCATGTTTTCCCTTTATAATACAGCAAACTCATGTTTGATTTACTGCACTCCTTATTTTTGAGTTTTAGTTGGTGTGAAATTAGTTTTTCTGAAATATATCTGGTGTATAGTACTGGATTTCTGTGATTCTTCTGTTGTCTTCAACAACTCTGTGTCCAAAAGCAACAGTCAGTGGTTTGTACGTGCTCATACTTCGCTCTGTCAGTTAGGAGATGTTACTACAGTCCTCTTCCTAACTGCTGGAAATACCTATATTTTCTTTTTTTTTTCTTTTGAAGGAAGGGTATTAGGGTACTAAAACAAAATTGTTTTGCTTGCAGTGTTGGAAAAAAAAAAGAAACACCTTCCTTTTCACCTGCAGTTGCTTTATTATGCTTACGTGGTTAGTGGAATGATCCGTGTGGCAAAGCATGAAGGTGTTGAAAACATTAAATGAACTCCATAATCATGTATGCACAACCAAAAACTTGAAAAAGGAGGTTATGTTTTCCTGTTGTGATCCAGTAAAATATATTCTGTTCCCTTAAATGCATTTCACTTAATTTTCTACTAATGGTTTTCTGCATCTCTTCTCTCCCATTCTGAATAGGAGAAGAACAGTACAATTGCATCTCTGCCCTGCATCATTCTTTGAGAGGCTCAGATGAAAATGCTTCCCTTTACTGGCTTGGTCGAATGCTTGAAGGTGGTGAGGATCCACTCTATGTGGCGAGGAGGCTGGTGAGGTTTGCAAGTGAAGATATAGGTCAGTATTCACAGTATTTCATGTTGGAGTATTATGTTGAGTGAAGATCTCTCTGGCTTCTGATTTTCAAAAACTGGCTTTTGAAAACAATATCTAACAAAAACATTGTATGTACAGAGACCTACGCGTGAAAAAGACATTTTTGAGGTCAGGTTTTGGCAGTGTATTGATATGGATTCTTCTAAGCTCTGGTGTTTGTTACGCTGGTCACCAGTAAACTTGTGTCACAGAGTATGTGTATTTCAGGGATGTCTGGGTTTTTTTAATGACTGGAGGCTGAATGCCTACCCTGAATTGCAAACCTCAGCTTTGATAACTGGCTCCCTAGTTGTGAAGTCATCTTGACACCAACTTACCCAGAATAACAGATGCAGAAACACTTTAGCATCTGTGTCATGGGTGAAGAGTTATGAGGTCTGGGAAAGTTGCGTCTAGTTGCGTAATAAAATATAGCGGTATTTCCCCATTTCTTTCTCAGTTCCAAAAAGTGAATCACACACGGGCAGCTACTGCTCGGGCTGCCACCATGTGGCGACAGATTCAATCTGCAAATCATACCCATGACTTAGACCTTTCTTTTTTTTGGAGGAGGAGGGAGAGGGTGGAAAGAAAAAGGAAGGCTGTGGATGGAGTCAGTATATCTTATGTACTACAAACTATTGTAGAGAAGTTCCAGCATCTGAGAAACAAACTTTGAAATGTTCATGAATAACTTTCCATCTTACAGAAGTTAAAAAAAATGAGAGACTTTTAAACTGACTTTAAGGCACTTTTGTCTGATCCCTTTTTGTAGGGCTGGCAGATCCTCTGGCTTTAACACAAGCAGTTGCTGCTTATCAAGGTTGTCACTTTATCGGAATGCCAGAATGTGAGGTAAAGGCTTCATTAATTCACTGATTTGAAAGTACTGCAAACTGTAAAACTTATCTGTAATTATAGAAAGAGATTGTAAGGACAAGGTGAATTTAATTACTTGATCATTCAGCATGCCTCTTTTTTTTTACAAGAACCTTGTAGCTCACTGCATATTTATTGTTAAAATGTTAAGTAATATCATTTTTCTCTGTCCATTTTTTCTTTGTTATAAATAAAATAATATAATCTGGTATTCTAAAGTTCCTGTTATTTTCCAGTAGTGAAAATGATTAAAAGCTGTGTTGTTAAATAATAATAATCAAACTACAGAAGCAGGCAGAGATCAGTTTAAACACATAATCCCTGTCATGCTACACAAGCAACCTAAATAACCAATCTTTTCCCAAGCAGCTTAAAAAAAGACATTTAACAATTTCCCTTTTCTTGTTTCCAGGTGATTCTAGCACAATGTGTAGTGTACTTTGCCAGAGCACCCAAGTCTATAGAGGTGTACAGGGCATATAACAAAGTCAAAGAACGCCTGAGAATGCACACGGGACCTCTGCCACCCGTTCCACTGCATCTGAGAAATGCCCCAACAACGCTCATGGAGAACTTGGGCTATGGCAAAGGCTGTAAATACAACCCCGCATACAAGGAACCTGTAGAGCAAGACTATCTACCAGAAGAGTTGAAAGGAACAGACTTCTTCAAGGAATGAAAAACATGACTGCCTTGCTCGGAATGGGTTTTGATTTTATGACTCATACGTTTGTATTGGGATGGAAATTCCCTTACAGTCTCAGCCATCTATTATTGTGGTTGAACGTATTAAGCCACTAAGCCTTTCAGATACTTTCTTATCCTTCTGTTTTTACTGCTGTTATTCTTTAGGTGTTTTGTAAAGATTTGTAGTTAGGCAACAGAGAGTACAAAAATGAGCTTTATTGGTACAGTGCTGTCACCCTCTGATTCAAAGAAAATGGAGAAGAAGAAAGGCTTGTGGCTTTGGCTCTTGCTGTTAGACGAGGGGTATCATTGTGCTGCTTTTTAAAGTAAGTATCTGCTTCAGATTTTGTGAATGTTTATTTTCTGGAAAAGTAGTGAATTGTATCCCCTCTGCTAAGATACAGCAAACAAAATATAATTACAGTGTAATTCTTGTTCTTGTGATGTTCCAGAGCTAAGTTTTGTACAAAATTGATTAAACCAGTAAAGTTGTTAAACATAGTGTCTATGCATTTGTTTAAATATTTGTATGACATTGTTGTGGTTTTGAAAGTTTAATGTTCCTTTATCGTCTCTACCTTCCAGAGCAATTTTAAATGATTTTGGAAGTAGAATATTCATGAAAGTAGCTGAATTATGTTAGTTTTTGAACTTACACTTTTTATTGTGTGCTGACATTTTAGGAAGTGCTTTCGCAAAGGAAGTTCTTATTAGTGAAACACATGTTTTCAGTTATGCATTGGGAATTCTATTAACTTCGAATTGGAAGGCTGAGAAACAAATTGATGTGTTGCTATAATGGACAGTTTGGCTTCCTCTTCCTACTGAAAATGTATCCCCATCCAAGATAGCTGCTGACTGAACATTTCACCCAGCAGAATGTACAGTCATGGCAGTGTCCCTGATGTTGACAACATTCCTTCACTTAAGTGGTGATTATTTTTCTTCGCCTCAATCCTCCTTAAGTGTGCTGTGGTCCAGTGTGCTGAAAAGCCAGTAACTGCTAAAACCGCCTGTGACTGTGCTAACTAGCAGTTGCGAAGCAGAAGAGGACTATGTTTGGCTAGAATTACAGCAGATAATTAGTAGAGAAGATACTCATTAATGACATACTGAACAGCCACTGGGGTAACTGTCCACATTTGTCATAGTGACCGCTAGTGATAAGGATGTGTGTCTTGGCTGAAAATTGCCACCTACACAGTAGAGCAATGTGGTTATGGCTGGATTTGCTTGGTAATACTCAGGATTTGCTTGCTTTGTGTCTTACACACATTTTTACTGAGTCTATACTGGTTAGCTGATGGACTGCAAGGATTCCTGTCCTGATCCTGCTTAGTTTATGAAATGCGATGAGGCCAAAAGTTACAATGCCTTATGTAGGGCATCTGATCTTTTGCTGATCAGCTGAGAATGCCACATACCTGCTAAAAGAAGGAGGTGGCTGTGCTGACTTCCCTGAGAAGTGTTAGAAGGTTACTAACTCTCCTGCAAAAGGACTACATATCACAGGTTTATTTTGTTCTTTACAGTATGGAATCATGTTGGGTTTTTCTCATGTGTTACATTTGCTGAACTGGTGCTTCATTTCACATTTACAGTATTGCATTTAACAGCTTTTAAAAATTTCAGCTACCTAATTGAATTTGTAAATAAATATATAATTTTTTAGCAAAGGAAAACTGCTTTGCTTTGGAGCTGTACGAGGCTTTTTGCACCTCCCTGGAGCTATACCTGTGATATGATCCAGACAGCTACCTGGTATGCACAAATTGCAGGCAGGTATTTCATGACAGCAGAGGTATTTGGTGCTGTGTGGAGCTTAGATCAGATGGGTTGCCACAGCCCACACATCTGGAGTTCATTCAAAGCAGCTTTCGCAGAGCAGGAGGTCTGTGGTCTGAGAATGTGGTTCCAAGTCCAGAAGCCACCTTTAACTTTCCTGCAGCAGGAAATTCAGCTGATGACTTATGTTTCAAGATAGGTTGCTGGACCTTGACCTTGATCAAAGGTTTTCAATATACAACCTGCAAAACATTCTGATTACTGCCTTCTCTTGACCAAAGGGTAATTGTATTAGAGATTCATTTTGTTGTGAGGCTTCCAGCTTGGTAGTGATCATATTAAGTTCTTCTGCATGACAAAAATGTAGGACTTAAACCAAAGACTATGGTGTAACTGAAATGTTTCAGAAATTAAACCAATTGCATGGCTGTGTACTGTTAGAGGGTTTGAGTCAGATTCTTTAAACATTTCTACATGTTCTCCTTCCTCAAGTAAGTGTCCCTATTCTTCACAGCAGGATGGTTTTGTAGGCTAGGAACTATTCCTCTGAGTTTGTGTCTGCTCTGTCAAGATATGTAGAAAGATGGGAATAGAGATGAAAACAGGTGTTACATTAATCCATAATCTCTTGGCAAAATTACTTGTGCTATCAGTCAATGTTCATTCTAATTAAGATACAGAGAACTGATGTAAATGTTTAAGTGGACCATTATTTGTAAGCTGACCCAAATCAAATCAATGGATTGGTAAATTTAAACATGTTTTTTTGTCTTACGAGTGTACCACAGGTTGTTGTGCTTCCCTTTGATGCAACTGACAGAAATCTTGGGCCAATGAAGTCTGAGGTATTTTTCCATTCTTACTTTCTTCTGTTAGTTAAAAGAATGGGATAACCTCACCAGCTGTTCTTAACTTTGTGAGTACCTACTAATGCCTAAATTCAATTCAGTATAAAGCTTTACCCAAGGGAAACCCCAGAGGGTAGTTTCTTGCCTTCAGGTGACAGAAATCTTCACTCAAAGCCTTAAGTTTCTGTTTACAGCACTTTTAATTACCTAAGATGTGATAAAACTTCCCTTGTTGCAACAAATTGTGTCCCAGCTGTTACAGCAAATGTTGCACAGAAGTTTTACAGAACTTGTGTTTTTCCCATTTGCATGTTTAGTGCTCACTGTTCCGGAGCAGCTTGGAGTATTCAGAGTGGACCTGATGAAAGTCCTCTGGTGGTCTGCACTTAGCAAAGACTTAGTGGAGTTCAGATGGTAGAAGTAAGGCTTTCCAAATCTGCAAGGGCCTATATACTACCATTTACATTCTGTGGCATGTCTATGAGAAGTCGTCTAGAAGAGAGGCCACATTGGTTAGTTATAGACCACTAGTAGGCTATAATTGTTTTTTCAAGACCAGTTTACCTCAGGATTTATTTACTAACAAGCACTGAAGATAGTCATCAATAACATGGGTTTATTTTGCTTTGCTGGGCTGGTATCTGGAGGACATAAAATGTTGCTGTTTGGGTCAGGTATTAGAGGACATTCTTGGTGCATGTTTATGGAGTATGCTAGGCAGGGGATTTAGTGGTGAAGGATAGCCATGAAGTGTGAAGACAGATTTAGAATTACTAGCAAGACATTTCAGACTCTTATTCTTGGTAATGTTAGCTTTTATGTATTGCAAGAAGTTGCAACTACCAAGATAATTCAGCTGTAAAATATGTCACAACTATTCTATTCTGGGGTTGGACACATGTTGTCAAAGGTTTTGGTCAGCAGCTGCCCTGTCTTGTCTAAGCAGTGGGTTATAAAACTGACAGTAGGCTTGGTATGTCTCCACAGCATCTGATGAGGCCCAGAAGCTGATAGTACCAATAGCTTTTGAAAGCTGTGAGCAGTGTCTTTCTAAAGTTGAGTACACTTCTTATAAGCTTCATTTATGTATATTTGCATGTTTTTAACCCATAGTTCAGTTCTTTTTGCTCTTTGGTTAGAACTTTCTTGTTGTCTGAATTAATGCAGGAATTAATTAGATTAGTATTTTTATCCTGGTAGTCTTTTGAAAGGCATATGGAGAAATAAGGCAAGATGTGGTCATGATAGGGTCACCTTGAGAAGTTAATGGGCTTTGACTCTATACAAGTCCAGGTTAGGGAAAATTTTGATAACCTGTAGATTTGTGCTAGGGATCTTGTCTAGTGCTTACCTGGGAGCTTCTGAGCACTGTGTGAAGGAATACGTGGGTTGAGGTAGAAGTAGGGGTAGATGACTGCTGATTGCCGAGATGTAGCTGAAATTACATGGAGGAGTAATAGCATGAGGAGGCACCTCTGAAACACTGGTCCAGAGTAATCCAAGCAGCCAGGACTGCGATCAGCACTGACCATGACACCGACATTACAAAATTGGGATGGGAGCTCTTGGACAGGTCTCCACAAAGCAGCTCGCTCAGGACTAGGGCAGAACAGCAGTGCTGGTCCCTGCGCCTACTGCTGAGATGGGCTCAGCCTGCAAGAAGGGAGCTGAGTAGGCATAGCATGGGGTGAGACAGAGTCCTGGATTTCCATAAACTTGTCTGTTGTGTATTTCATGTGGAAGAGGGGAAGGAGGTTCCATCAAGCGGCTCTTGCATTGATCACAGTTGCTTTTTCCATGTATATAGTATTTCCCATGGTTCTTTGTACAGTTTCCCTTTTTTTTTTTTTCCCACAGGAAGAAAATAAAAAATAATAAATAGAACTTGGTGGCCTTACTATGGAGACTTCATTAATAATTTTCCAGTAGCAGAAATAGTCTGGCTAGGAACCCAAGTCGGTTGTATTCATTGTGCCAATGAACTCCCCAGTGGGCCCTGGTCTCTCCCATCACCAGAAGGTCATGCAGCATGGCTGGGGCTCTGCAGGTTTTCCACCACGTTACAAGACAAAAGCCAAAGTGTTAAAGGGATCTCGCCAAGTACACTGGGGTGGCTAACACACAGGATACAGGAGCCTGCATGTGTCCTAGGCCACGGGCAATTGCCAGCAGGTAAGCCAATAGCTCACCTGTTACATGAGGTGGATGCAGGCTAATACTTTCCCTTGTGACTAAGTTTACTGGTTTACTGCATATGCTGGGTAGTTTGCCTTGTACTCGTCTCCTTCCCCTACTCCTCCTGTTCCTTGGAAACTATCAGTTGTCTCCTCTCATGCCCCAGTTTCAGAGCAGGATTAGTCAGGGTATCTTTTCCACTGCTGAAGTAAATCAAAGTAGTGTGTGCTCACCTTCAGAGGGCAGCACAGCTTGGCAACATGTTCAGAGGTGCTTTTTCATTCCTTGGCCCCCAGTTGTTTTTTCTCAGGCCTGAATGAACAGAGATTGTGCCCCTCAGGACAGCTCCATCAGACAGTCCAGTCTAATGGCCTACTAAAATGTTGTCAACAAGAAGATAAAGTTTCAAACCCATCATGCTTTATGGCCTCTTTCAAAGCAAAGTACTATTTTCCATTTTCTGCTTGCTCTCTTCCACTGATGTGCATCTCTTTCATACTCCCCGTAGAGAGGGTCACCTCCACTGTTTGAGGAATTCCATGCCCCATTAAAACATCTGTCAGCACCAGATGCACTCACAAATGGACATGTCAACCTGCACCATTTCCAGTCCCTCTGAACAGTCCCAAAGCAAAACGGTCAATTTCTTCTCAGGATGATGTATAAGTCTCCATAAATAATGAAGTATATTTCTATGTTTTCTACCTTTTGAGTCCCTGGCACTTACCTTTTGAAGTTCATTTCAGGGCAAGAATGGTCACTTCTGAAGAGTCATAATACCGTGTGTTTATTCATCTTCAGTTTGTAGAGCTTGAAAGAAATAACAAATATTGCAGTGCCACCCAAACTTGGGGATGAGATTGGGATCCCATCAGGTGACAGTTGCTTCCATTGTAAGGAGCATCACGAAAATCTGCCATACCATGATCTCTTTTTCTCTTACACAAGTGTCCAGGGTTTAGCAATAGCAGTCATTTTTTCTCCTTCTTGGTAGCTGGTGCAATGCTGTGTTTTGACTTTCGGCCTGGGAACAGAGCTGATAACACCGATGTTTTGGTTTGGACAAGGACTTTGTGAGCCTCATGCTCTGCCAGGGAGGATGGAAGCCGGGAGGAAGCAGAGATAGGACACCTGACCCAAACTGACCAAAGAGGTATTCCATACCACAGCACGTCATGTCCAGGAGGTAACTGGGAGTGACCTGGAAGGACAGGGGGTCTTCTGGGTCGGACTCATTTTTCAGCAGGTGGTATTGTACTCTTGTCCCTTGCTATTTTCTCTTATCATTGGTGGTAGCGGTTGTGATTTGTGTTGTACATTGGTTGCTGGACTGTTCTTATCTCAACCCGTGGGAGTTGCATTTGATTCCCCTCCCCATCCCTTCAGGAGCAGAGAAGGGGGGACACGGGCCAAGTGGTGGTATGGAATACCTCTTTGGTCAGTTTGGGTCAGGTTTCCTGTCTCTGCTTCCTCCTGGCTTCCCCTCCTCCCTTGCAGAGCATGAGGCTCACAAAATCCTTGGCCAGACCAAAACATCATTTTTATCAGCTCTGTTCCCAGGCTGAAAGTCAAAACACAGCACTGCACCAGCTACCAAGAAGGAGAAAAATGACTGCTACTGCTGAACCCAGGACAACAAGGCATTCTACCAAGGAATAATGCAGACCATGAGAAAGGCCATGCTATATTCCATGTTGGGCAATTCAGTACACATGAGAAACAGCCTGAAATTCTAACGAATATTGCTTTCATTATTTAGCCAGTTTGACTCCTGCAGATAAAGAACTGGGTGATATGGCTGGTATGGAGTTGTCCAGGCTTTTATACTAAATATTTACATGAAATCATGACTTCTGTTCTAAGATTCATGTACTGTTCTCTCATGTACAAAGAGTTTAAATTCTTGTTAACCCACTGGGTTGTATTTGTTTCTGTGTCTAGTGTTGAGAAAGAGTTCTCGGCCAAAATGACTATCTATCATCTCCCATGACATGACTTAAAAATAAAAGTGATTGTACAAGCTGGTTGTTTAGAGTTTCATTTAACCTGAAGGTGCAGCCTTCTCTGGCCGATGTGATGAATTCATCACCTGAATTGCCAGCAGCCACTGTGCGTGTTCAGCATGTTTCCAGACAGGCTGAGCTCTCCAGGATTTGGCTGGTTTTTTTTTGACTTCTATTGTTATTAAGTAGTCAGGGATTGCATATGCCCCTGAATGAATATGGATAAGAATATGTACCATAAGGTGACATGACAGAGCTGGACAGATTCACTACAGTAGAAAAAACAACCAACCAACCCACCCAAAAGCCTGTTTATGATTTCAACAGTACCCTTTTTTTGTCAGTAGGTTCAAGTGAATTACACTTTCTAATGAAAACATATTAAAAAATCAAGACAAATATCTGTCTCTAAGACACCTGGGCACTTGATCAGGTTCACGTACTTTACCAGGATTTTGGTCATATATAAATACATAAAACCATTTAACAGTGAAAAGTATTACCAATCATCCCCTGAGTATGTAAATCATATGTAAATTTTTTCTCTAGGACAAGGTGACTTAAACCCCAGCAATATCTGTCCTCCTTATCCGCAGTATGGTATTTACTATCTAGAAAGAGCAAGTTAAACTGTATGAATCAGACAGAAATCAGCCAAGAGGTGGTGGGTGGCGGGTTTTTTTGTTTTAGATTACTGAAATCAAAGGGCTATGGTAGAGAATCTGTGTAAGCAGTCGTACAAAGTCTGGCTTACTCACCACACCACAGTGAGCAAATACTGCGCTTGAGTTTTGGATTGTTATAAAGCCTGTTGTAAAGTCCTTCACAGAAGCTAGTTGAAGCAGCATTTTATTTTTTAGAAATGTGAGTACATTTGACATACCAGTTTTCCGGGGTGGAGTCAGCCTTTGTCAGTCACTTGTTCTGACAGAAGTGCAGGAAAAGAAAGAGCTATTAAGGAAAACACAACTGTCTTACTGTGGGACTTGAATTATGGGAGAGTAATATTTGCCAGTAGGCTTGTTGTTTGGGTTGGGGTTTTTTAACAGCTGAATGTGAAGCTGACTTTATTGAGAGTCTTAATTGCTGATTTTTACTTTGTGCATCCTGTCTGTAGAAAGCCAAATTTGACTCAGATTCAGTTCAGGTACTGAATACTGAGACCAATGTAATCAAGAAACACATGAGTATATAAAGCTACTGTAATTTGTACTATTACGCAAAGTTTTATCTTTCTTCTGATCTCCTGGTAATCACAGCCCTAAAAGCTTTCAGACATCATATATCTTGCATGCATTAATTGAGTTTAAGCATATAAAGATAAGGATGTAATTATAATGGAGCTTTTGAGCCTTAAGTAAAAAAATCCATCTATGGCAGCGGAAGCCTTATTTGCTAAAAGGCTGAAGACAAATGGCCAGAAACCCCGTACTAATGCAAATGTCAAATCATTCCACATTTTCACATGGGTTTTGTACTAGTATTTTTTTTTTACTTAGTCACAAAGCATTGGGTTTTCACAACATTCAACACAAAAACAGTTACATTCACATCTGCACTCTTTACATCTTCACCAGGACCTTTGCAACCGAGGTATTGCCAACACTTGGGAACATGTTTACTAATGTACAGACCAAGTGCCTGTGTCATTTCATAAACTGTTGCTCTCTTCCTGTTCCCTGCAGGTGCTAGCAGCTGTGGTCATTGCACTTACTTACAGAGGAAGCTGATGGTTCATGCAATAATCTCTTCTACCAAGTAATTTGTTGTTCAGCATTTTCACCTACTCTGAACAGCTGAAGGACTTCTACAGATGATCTTACCTGCTGCACCAGCGGTTTTCTTTAGCCTTCAGGGGACAGTTACTTTTGTACACTGAAATGCTAAATGATATACAGAAGTTTCCATTTTGAACATGAGTGTAAGAAGAAGAGTTTTATTTGTTCCTTAAAGACAAAATTAATACACAGTTTGCAATTGCAGAAATTACTGTGCCCCACTGAGACCTATGGCTTACAAGTAAACATTACAGTACCCAAGATATACCTTATACAAGCAAATACCCTCCAGAAATAAACATGGAACAAGGCTGTTGAACAGTACAGGTCTGTACGTAGAGAAGTAGTGGAAGTCAGCGGAATAAATGTTGAATCCTTTTACATAAAGAGACACATTGGACCCTTACTGCAGATTATATACAGTCACCCCTGGGAAGCTAAGTATTTTTTGAGGATCACATAGGTTCTGGCCAGACATAAATGTCATATTGAAAGCTTTTGAACTTGCACAAAAGAAAGACACCCATTAGCTTCAAGCAGCTAAAACCTCTAAGCCCTGGGACATTTTCACGTTTTCAATAACTAAAATGGTGCCAGACTATAAATTTTTAAGGTCCTCTTTAAAAATGTCACCTAAAGTTACTATTAACTTCTCGTTCAAAAGCTGTACTGTAAGTTTTCTGGGTAATGACTAGAAAGGGTTAATTTTGTTTAAATAGCTTAATCCTTTCTCTATTAATAGATGTCTCTAAACAAATGTTATCTGACCTTCTATTTCACGACAGAACTGGGTAAACTCAGCTGTTCAGGAACATGCCTTTTGGTGCCTAGAAGTATTTTATTAAAGTGCTTTTGAAAAGCAAGACTTTAGGGGAGGAGTAGCTTTGCACAAACACCCTAATATACGTGCATAAGGAATGACTGAATTATTGTTATTACAATAGGGGACTGTCAACACAGATAAACCCATGGAAGGCTGCATAGAGGGTAATCCTGTGCTTTAAAAGGCACAAGTTTCTTCCAAGAGTATTTCTAGTCCAACTTCAAAAGATTTCTTCTGCCTACAGTTAAGATTTTCCTCATTATTAAAGATGATGTCTTTAAGAAAAATAAACTACTCCTCAGTTCCTTTGGGACTGTTTTTATGGGAAAGGCAGAATCTTAGTCAAAGTTACTAGGAACTCAAGACAGGAGCATTAACTTTCTACATCAAAAGCCAACTCATTCATGAGCTAAGCTTTCACTGACTACAGCAGGAACTGATCTGCAAATGCCAAGTTCTCTTTTATGGAGAAGTGTATCTGCCGAAGAAAAGTATGCTTTGTGTGGGGTTGTGGCGAATAAAGAAAAGGAAAGGATGGTCCGCATTGAAATCCTCTTCAATAGCCATGCAGAGCATAGCAATGCCAGCAGTAGCAGCTGCAGCTTCCGTACCTTCCTCATTCACTTCTACAAAAGCTTTGTGGACAATTTTAGAGAGAAAGAGGTCACGTGCCCCTGACATTCCCGACAAGTCAGCCTTACCACTGTCAAATACATCCACCAAGCCCATAGCAGCTAAATCTGATTTAAGGTCATAGCTTTCTTCTAGCCTAAACTTTGGCAAATGCACACGAACATCAGTGGAATACAAACGCTCCGGACATGTCCATTCCTGAAGCTTCTCTAAGGTAAGCTGCTTTTCCAGCTGGAATTGAAATGTCAGAGATGATTACATATCACCTGTGTAGAAACGTTTCATTTTCAGTAACATTTACAAGGCTTTATAGAGTACTAAATAAGTATAAAGCAACTATACAAAAATGACAATACCCGTATCTTTGATGGCTACATGCAGACTTACAAATGCTATTAAAATTAAATGGAGGCAGTGCAGTTTTTACTTTAGAAAGTAATGCAGACATTTTCTTCTTGCTGCAATGTACAGAAAGGAGAAGCATGCACTGATAGCAACTAAACCCAGTAATTCTTACTGTTTAACTAAATGGAATTACACAATTAACAACAAGTAACTAAACTAATCATCAGAGAGCTCAAAGCAGCTGATGAGTTCCTGGTCATTTAATGGAAAACAGTCTCATTACGTCAAGGCTAAGAAAACAAGGACATTCAAAGGTAATGAAAGAAAAGTTCTGTCATTAAAAATAAAAAATATGCAAGGCAAGTTAATTCTCATAGTTAACTTTGGTTTTGCAGTCTCCCCCATGGTTCAGTTCAGCAAGCCAAAGGACACAAAGAGAAGCTACAAAACCAGAACACAACTTCTCTTCCCGATGCAGCACACGCACATATTCTTTATTGCAGTGCTAGCAGAGCATTGTCTGAAGACATGCTTCATAGATATGGGGCTCTGAGAACATGGGCTCATTATGGCTTTAGTTTTGAATGGCTGAAATTATCTGTAACTGTATTAGCTTAGATGGCCCACCTTCTGCAGACCAGTGGAGTTATCTTCAATGTCATCAGGTAACAGGATGATCATACTAACTTCTTCTCCATCATAAAGCAGCTCTAACACACGGATCTTCTCTTCAGGGATGTACCCAAAATGAAATTTATTTTTCTGATACATCATTTTCACTGTCTTTCTTTCATTCTGGATAGACAAAAGTTATCAAAGTAACAGTTAAGAACAGGAAACAAGTTAAAAACTGTGTTATTGCAAAACTTTTCTGCATTTTATCAGCTGACCATAAAACTTTGTCGGACTCCTGACTGCCCATTTAACAACAATTTCTTCTCCAGACATGAGTTTTTATTAAATTTAGTTCTCCTTTGGCTTCTGTAGTACAGTCCTCAAAGAAACTATTTCTTTGAGCTGCTGTACATTTATATTGCTCTGGCCCCCAAAAGGACATTAAAAGTCAAGAAATATCAACTTTGTTCAGAATAAAGCAGATGACTATATATAGTATCTTGTAAAGCTGTTAACATAAGCAGAATACAGAACAAGAAAATGGGGCTTAACCAAATTGAGCTATCATTTTAATACTGCTTACCTAACATCACAAACAGTTCATGGCACCTGAAACTCGGTTAGTCACAGGCAGGGTCCTCCTAATCTATATGTGAGAACTGTCTCAAATACTGTGATGGGAAGTGAGGTAACAAATAGCTTCCTGAATACAGAAAAATACTAAAATCCATAAAAAACTCTTTGGGGTGAACTGAAAACATTCATTATAGACTATTTACATTCCCTAGTAGTGTTCAAAGCCAGGTTTGATAGGGCTTTGAGCAATCTGGTCTGATGGAAGGTGTCCCTGCCCATGGCAGAGGTTGGAACTGGATGATCTTTAAAGTCTCTTCCAACCCAAACCATTCTAGGATTCTATGATTTTTTAATTATTTTACCTGTACGCAAAGCTTCACTTTAGCACCTGAATGATTTGACCTTTTTGTTAGATATATACTACCAAGACATATCTGTATTACCTTATTTAACCGAAACGGCATGTCAGTGGTGTCAGCTTCTTTAAATTTCTCTGCCCAGTTCCCTTTGAAATAAATAGCATTCACCAATACGAGCCTGGTCATGTTGTCAACAGAGCCTTCAGACAGCAGATGAAGGATTTTACCTTCAGAGGGGGCAGAAAAAAAAGAGTCACAACAAAATCTTGTGACAAGGTGATGGCACATAAAACATACATGAAGCCATGTAAAACATACATGAAGAAACTGATACCTTGAAAATACTACAAACATAAAGCTCGAGTTCATTCCTGTAATAAGTTTTCAGTAGCTGTCTCTTTACCTTTTCACCATACTTTTTAATAGTAAACACTGTCACTTTTGTTATACAGTAATTAGATGAATATGTAATATTTTTAGCTTGAACTGTCACATATGACTCATCATACAAAAACTAGATAACACCCACAGTTAGGATTACAGGATTTAGAAATACATATATACGACATATACAGTATGTACCAGGACTGTCTAAAACAGAGTCTCCAATTCAATGGTATAAATCTATGTTTAGGCATCTCTCCTGCACTCACTGGCCTCAACGTAAACAATGGAAAAGTATCAGGACCTATGGAACTGTTTAAAAGTCTTCTTTAGATATAACTTGGTTCTGTTAATACATCAAGTGAATATCCCAGGGCAAAATTAGACTGTTCTCAAGGTTGCAGAGAATAAAGCCTACTCCTACTCCAAAAGTATGAAACACTGCTGGTTACTTTATTAGCTAAAGTCATTTACCTTCAGTTTTCTCTTCTACCCACTGGTTAATTTCTTTCCTGGCTTCATCACTAGCCTGAAGAAAATCAACTGTAGCCAAATCAGCTCCATAGAATTTCTGAATATTAGTCACGAAATCCTAGATTTTGGAATGATAAGAATAGCTTTCACTGTATGCAGATAACAAAACATCTCTTTATGCTGTAGATAAGGTGCATGTCAAACAGCTTATCACCTGGGATGGGTCTGAGATTGGGTTGGTTTTATTCCCCTCTCAGAGTAAGCCTCATAGTACATTTGCCACATATACAGCTGACGGGGTGCTTACTGCAGGTGTTGCAACATTCACCTGTCATTCTCCTGAAACAGGCTCAAGCACAGCTATGATAAAAAAAAAACATTCTGAAAGAGCTAAAGAGGGATAAAAATAGCAACCTGGGTGCAGACAAAGATATAATTCACTGGTGAAGAAGCATGTTGGGCATTCTAGGATTCTACTCTATGATTCTATGATAAATGCAGTGTTTTAAAAACATTTAAGTAATGTTATACTAGACCAATGAAAATCCTAAAAAAATGATTGCAACAGACACAGGGCTGGTTGCATCCTAAAAAGTTGATTGCAACAGACACAAGAGCTGGTTGCATCCTAAAAAGCTGGTTGCAAGAGTAGGACGTTGTGATAGTCACTGTAAACTAAGAACCTAGACAAGTGGTATCTCTCTTGAGCCCAAGAGCAGCTGAACCAAACAAGCAATAAAAAGGGTTTGCTGTGTAACATCCTTTAGGTGAGATGCACAGATGCCTACAGACATGGAAATGCATATGAACATACATAATACACTTGTTGACTGCCCAGTAACATTTAGAAATATGCCTAGAAATATTTGTACTGCACAAACACTCAAATAGCTGCATTTTCCCACCAGGTTCCACCATGCCATCAGGATCTGCACCAACATACCGGTAAAAAGGTGTAGGACTTCTCTCCAAAAAGCCGACTGGCAAGCCGTAGGAGATAGGGAGCATTGCTTCTGTTTATATCCATAGTCAGAGTCTGAAATCTGGAGTGAGTATCTTCAACTTTGTCAAAATGAAGTGTCTGAAATAAAATAAGTGAACAAGATGCTGTTATGCTGTCTTAAATGAACAATACAGTATATTTGTATCTGATCCAGAAGACAGGTAGGTTGAAGAAAGGCAAAAGGCTGAAAGCTGCTTAGACAATTCTGTAAACCTTGAAAAAATTAATGAATCAGTTTCTTGGTGCTACTTGCTCATCAGCCACTTGTATTAAGCTCCTGGTTTATACACAGTGACAGCTGAAGCTGTTGATCATAACCCCCAGTCCCATCCATGCAATATCTGCAAGCCTCCCCTCCACAGACCATGGGGCACAATGACTCATTCTCAAGTGTGGAACTGAAGAGAGATGATGCCAACAGAGGCACTTTGGTTTTCTTGCTTCCCCCTTTGGCCCAACGAAACCCGAGGTTTTGCTTTACAGAACATACAGCCAAAACCAGCACAGATGAGGTCTCAAGAAAACTTAGAACAATTATCTTTTATGGTTTTATGAAAATATAACTGATCTAAATCTATGAAACTGTATAATCTTAAAATCAGATTCATTACTGCAGTTTCTTTTCACCAGTACCTCCTTTCCCAGAGGCAAGCTGGCTGGCCAGGGTTCACAGATATGACAGCAGAAGCTGCCAGACCTCACTGACAGGGAAGGCTACCCCAAAGCAGGGATGTTCATATTCAAACTTACACCACCTATTCCTCAGCAGGGACAAGTGCTGTGGTACAGCCACTGGACTCAAAGGAAAACCCTTCTTTTATCTCACTGGGTTTTCGGTCAGGCCTTGCTGTCCACCCTTATACAAGCTATATTGTACAAATGAATAACTAAGCAAAAACATCATGGAATCAAAATAGGATTATGATCATGGATACAAACTCCTATATGCTTGAGAACAGCCCTTGACAGTTACCAATTGCTACCTCCTTAATTAGCTATGTTCTCATAGGTAATGCTTTATGGTGCAGGAACATGCGTTACTAAAGGTAACTATGTTGAAATACATTTTTCCCCCAAGTTCCTTTTGCATGACTTCTGCTGTCAGTAAGTTTATCGTAGGTGGGGCTGTCAGTTTGATTACATGAAATATATGTTCAAAGTCTGTTTGTACAAGTAGTGAGAGCATAGTTTTACTGTCTTATTCAGCAGGCATCAACTCAACAGTACTAAACAGTTCCTCCTCAAGTCCAGAATACAAAGGTGAAATTATTCATAGGCAAACACATGATGGTGACTGCAATGAGAAGCCTCATACACCCTTCTTTGTGCTAGAAGGCGTTAGCCTAATCAGGGGAGAAATCATAGTGACTAAGTTCCTTCCATGCAGGAGGGCCCATGGGAAGCTGGTGCACTCGTATGTACACCATTTTTGTAATTTTCAATGGTATTTTTTAAATTATACTACCTAACCTAAGGCTGTTTTGAGAATAAGCATGTAGGCTCAGCTAACCCAAGATACTGGAGTGCTTAACTGCTTACTGTGATACTACTAGCATCACAGTGTATCATCATACTTGTAACACTACATATAAAACTATGTATTACTATTGTGTTTCTTACAAAATACACATTTGTATTATTAGCAGTAAGCATACTGTTGGTGACCTTGTACTACAAATCAAGAGTTCTGTGCCAAAATATGATTCTGTGATTCTATAAAAATGCCTTATGAAAACTAAGCTGCTGGAAACTCCAATCAATTTAAATGGAGACTGGTTAATTATGAAATTAGTTTCCTACTTCAAGAATTAACTTAACAAGTGAAATTAAATGAGAAACAAGAGTCATAGAAAACATGGAAAGCGGGCTCTGGAGCAGGGCAGGAAGAAGGCAACCACAGAAAAGAGCCCGAGGAAGACTTAGTGAGCATGACAGAAACCTTGCCCTGAGCATGTAAAAACACCACAAACCTTTCATCTTCTTTCTGCTAAACCACAACAATCTTTAATGGAAATAAAATATAAAGCCAAAGAGAATTATTTATTTCTTACTAACCTTCAGCATCTGTGCCTCTGTATTACCTTTGGACCCTAAAAGGACCATGGCCAGAGCAGCAGAGACACTGAGGGGAGAGAAGAAAACGTTGCCTGTTGGGTTGGTCTCATTAAACCTTCTGAGTAGATCAAGTGCAAATCTGCCGTTGGCATTACACAGAGTCTCCATGGTTACAGCTGAAAAAAAAACATCAGTGAGGACGCTGGGAAACATTCGTCAAAAACCTAACCTAACCTTGTGTGACTCACAGAGTAAAGGCTGGATTAATCTGGTTGCAGCTGGGTACAAAACCAGCAAGAATTTCACTGTCAATACATCTTCTTCTTCAAAAACAAGCATTATATGCATTTTTTCCCACATGTATCACATATCCCAACCTTCCCTATCATGCTAACTTTAAAGACATTATTTAAAAAGATTCCTTGCCTTCTAAATTGAAACTGGAAGTATGTGTGCCGGCAGGATTGCAAGTTAAAGTCCTTCAGCCTCACCGACTCAGCATACCCCGGAGAGCTCACTCATGCTGTTTTCACCTCACTCTTCTACCCAAATCCTGCAGAGAGGACATTCACAGTAACTGCTCAGGGACACTTTTCAGCAAGCTGACCCTCTTCATGCCACAAAAAAGTGTCAATGCTGCCAAAGGCTCAGGCACACACTTACCTTTAGCAGTGTAAAGCACTGCTATCTCCACCAGCCTGCTCTGCCCAGAACAAGTGAACTACCTGCTTGCCTCAGCCAGGTACAAACCTGAGCCCCAGCAGGGCTGGGCAGTCCCTGACGCACAGGGGTGTTGTGAGCTGAAGGTGACATACCGGCTATCAAAGGCAGAAGTGAAGCACAGAACAGAGCTTCAGGCCTCACACTGCCCAGCCAGAGCAGGGATTAATTTTGGTGAGATGCTCCCTAGGATGCCTTTGGAGCAGGATGGATGGTGAGAGGGCTGGATCAGGAGCAAAACCCTACACAGAGGCTAGCGGCAGCACTGCTTGAGGCTGGAAAACCTTCCTGCTTTTCTCTGCTTGCTTGCAGCAGGACTTTTGCATTTGGTGGTTCCAGCTTGTTTCCATTTGTGCATCTGCCGCAGCAACCAGGGCAGCTGCCCAACGATATTGTCACTGATACTGTCCGACTACATGGAGGAGTCTGCACAGTCTTGCTACAGGAAAACACTATCTGCTTCCACCACCAGACGGACAAATGCCCTGCATTTTTGCAACGTTCTTTTATCTAGCTGTATGATAAACAGCCCATACAAAACAAAAAAATCCAAACACAAACTCAGAAAGCACACATACTTTTAGTTCCACTTACTGACACCGCCGCACCGTGCGGCTGCTTTCAATGAAACCACCCGGTTTACAGCCCCCGCTCGTCCCAGGCTGCCCGAGAAGCGCACGCCGTCCCACGCAGACCCCGCCGCCGCGGAAGGGAGACAGGGGACGTCCCCTTATCGCCCCATTCATGTCAAAGCGTCTGGAGGGGGGGCCGAGGCGAAGCCTGCCCTGACCCCCTCTCGCCCCGCAGAGCCCCAGCACAGCCCAAGACCACTCGCCTATCTGACTGCGCGGGCCGGCGCGGAAGGCAGCGTGGGGACCCGCAGGGCGCGACGAAGGCAGGAGAGAGGCCGCGGGAGGCGGGAGCGCGGCTCCGGAGCAGAGCTGGGTGTCCTCACCCAGGAGGGAGGGAGCCGGGTTGAAAACCGACTCTCCCTACTCGGTCAGTGCCGATCAGAGGGTTCTGCCCCATGGGACAAGGCAGAGAGCCCGCCCAGGGTATGTGTCTGGGAGTCCTAGAATTGCCTGGTAATAACACTAATAAAAGCTTTCTGGTGAATGAAGTGCAGGGCTGTTGTGAATCCTTAAATTATTTGATACAAAACGGCTTAATCAGAAATTGCCTCATACACTAAGGTCTGTGCACCAGTCCTCACTTGACACATACCCCTCTTGACATTCAGTAGTTACTAGAAATGGGTAAGTCAGGGCCATTACTTAATGCCACTCTTTAATTCCACTAGCTGCTGTTTCCAAATCAAATCAGTCACACCCTTTGCCTAGAGAACACCTTATCCAGGTGTCCTCCCTCCTGATGCTGATGCTCAACATCTCAGTCAAACTTTCTTTTTTAATGCAAGGAACATAACAGCATGGAAGGGCCTCTTGGGCTTAACCTGATTGTTTTCTCCATCAGGCCACCAGGAACCCACCCCACTCCGGCTTTGGGAGCAAAGCACTAGCCGTGTATTAAAGCTCAGACATATCCCACCCCTCAAATCACATAGCACTTTCATTTCCCTCACCCCAGACAGCCAAGTTACAGTGGACTGAAATAAACAGTGCAATTCAGCACTATTTGGATGACAGTCAACCGTTTTGGAGTCGTGCACAAAAAGGTAACAGTGCAGTCCTGCGCAGAAACAGCTCTTTGCTGAAAATCTTCACAATGCCAACACCAAATGTCGTGGCAACCTAAATAAGCACCGCAGGACTGCAGTACTTGGAGAATGTTTGGAATTCATTGTCAAACCCAGCAAGTACCCAGAAGCTGGTTGCACTCTAATAAGAGGTAACTGGGTTTCTTCACACTACAGATTTAAGAAATAAAGGCATAATTTATGGTTGAAGTCTCACAGCACTTCTTTTATTATTTTAGGAATAGAAACAGCAAAACAAAACAACTGTATTAGGAAAGCTATTTCAGCTATATCTTTGGTATTATGCAGTTGAATAAACTGTTTTAAGAAACAATGAACAGGAAAGATCTATCACAACAGCAGAAAGTCTATGTTATTTAAATATTGCATAGGCACCATATGCTTTTTCATTACATTCTTTAAAGGACTAGAACCAGCTGATAGGTAATAAACTCAGGTGTCCTGTGCTGATAAAACACTTCAGGTAATAAACTCGGGTGTCCTGTACTGATAAAACACTTCTCACTCCATGATTACCCTACAAGGACACCTGGTGCAAAGCCATACTTTTATTCTCATTCTTGCCTAAGTGCTTGTCCAGTTATTCTCCAAAAACCCTATTTCATCAGGTTGCTTAGCAACACTTGGAACAGACTGCTGAGGGCTCCTTTCATCTCTGGGGAATGTATCAAGAGTTTAAGTGGATGAGTCTGGAAGGAAAAAAAATAAAAAGACAGGGGATGAGAGGAAAAAGGAGGAGGGGAGCTGAAGACATGCTCCAGCCTTGTCAGAACCAAATTAACACCTTTTCCAGTGGGGAGTCACTGCCCAACTCTACCATGTAGCCACAGAAAGTAAGCTGAAATGGGAACTGCAAGGACAGAGGAAGCACTGGCTGAGCTAGTAGGATGTTTCTTGTGTCAGCAAGAAGACATCTCTGCACTGAGGTGCACCAGCTAAGAGTTGATTTGTATGGCACTGGCTCCATGTAGCTCTCTTATACTATCAGGCCTGAGATGAAGGCCACAGAATTGGACTCACACAGCTGAAAGAGACAGTGCAAAAAGAGTAGCCCTATTCCAAAGAAACAGAAAGTTACTGTGTAATGGCAGCCAAGACATCTTCTTTCTAGGGAGAACAAAATCTTCCACAGAACAAAATGGTGGAAGTTTTGTTGTGCCGGATGAAGAAAAGGAAGGGATGATCTGCAGTGAAGTCTTCAACAATCATCGCGCAGCGCATCATCATCACTCCTGCTGTGGCAGCTGCTGCTTCAGTGCCTTCTTCATTGACTTCCACAAAGGACTTGTGAATCACTTCTGAAAGCACCAGCTCATTGTCAGATGAAATCCCTGAGAAGTCTGCCTTCCCTAAGTCAAACGCATCAGGCATTCCCATGCTGCTCAGGACGGGCTTCAGATTATAATTTTCTTCCAGTTTAAATCTGGGTAAAGACACCTTCACCTCTATGCATTCCATCGCTTGTGGATTGAGCCAATCTCTCACCTTCTCATATGTGAGTTCTCTTTCCAGCTAAAGAAAACCCAAATATTCACATAATTAAAGACAGTTTTACTCAGCCATAAGTAGTAATTACTGTGTTTGTTTATACAGTGCATAACATGCACCTTTTTTTTCCAGGGTTTAGCACATCTCAAGCCAGAAATGCAAGTTCTACTTCTCATTAGAGAACTACAGCTTGAGCCAAGATCAATCCCACATGCTTTTTGGTAGATACAATAAGGATCAGTCCCTTCCATGTAAAGTTTACTTTTATAAAACATGTTAGATTGGGGGCTTTTTACATTTTGCATATGGGAAGCAAAGGCAGAGAAGAACTAATGACAGGTTCTCGAAGAAACCAAACCCAGTTCCTCTATTTCTTAATGAGAACATCCTCCTTTGGTTTGACAGGCTGATGAAAAAGTCTGCTCACAATGCCCCTTGTAGTCAGTGCTAGAAAATCTTATTAATAAATTCTTGTCCAGGGCATGAAATAGCCAAAACAATTGAGTCATGTCTCCACAACAGAACAGATCCTATGTTTTCCTGTGAGCTTGTTTCTCTGGAAGTGGGCATGGACAATCTGCCAGCTGTTCAGAACAGATCTATGGGACAAGCTATAAGACTTCCTAAGAGCTTCCCCAACACTCCTCTCACCACATATGCTCCTCAGCACACCATGCCCTCACCATAACCACAGCTAATATCTGTTGCTGAGGAGGGTCAGGTCTTCAGCTGGTGCTAAGCACCAGTGACATAATGACTCTGGAACTGAACTGCAGTTCTATATGCAGTATATACCAAACTTTCTTCCCCGGGAGGACAGAGACTTGCATTTATCTCAACAACTTACGCTTTCCAAGCCAGTGGACCCATCCTGAATTGCATCAGGGAGCAGGATAATCATGCTGAGCTCATTACCAACATAAGGGAGCTCAAGGATTTTGGTCTGCAAGTCCCAAAGATAGGCCATGTTAAACTTATCCTTCCTGCACATCATCTGCACAGGTCTGGTCTCTTCCTAAAAGTAAAGAGATGTTATCAGGTAGTGCCGAGTTGAGTATACTGGTCTCAGAATACAAAGCAGGCATCCAGTTACTCAGGGCTTTTAATAATTTGACTAAAGAGAACCAAACACACCACAGAGCTCAGCCTCACCACTGCCTTTTGTGAAGAAGGATCCCCGAGAATTAATTTTTAGTTACTGATGTGTAAATGTCTGTCAAGTTTCCTTTAAGGCAAAAAGGCAAAGACATGTATGTTCTCTTAACAACTACTGACAAGCACTAAACAGAGCTGGTAAGAAGCAGAACCCATGTTGCTTGCTTTAAATGCAGAGCTGTTTCAATGTAAGCATTTTCATTTTTAGTCTATGTGGCTCCAAGTGCTGTAAACAATTAATATAAAAATTAAAAAAAAATAAAAAATATAAATAATATATAATAATATAAATAATATAAATAATAATATAAATAATATATAATAATATATAAATTTAAAAATAAAGAAAATAAAAATTAAAAAAATATAGAAATTAAAATACTTTAAAATTTTATTAAAAATACTGAGAAAGGGAGAACATTATTTTGAATTCTTAAGTCACAATGGATAGTAAGAAGGTGTAAGATTTTTCTCCTAAATTTCATTCTCCGGCATCTCCTTCCATTTTCACATGGTACATCACCTACTATAATTCACATAATTATTTAATATCTTTTCAGTTAAGAGTTTCATTACTTTCTCCTTTACCTTCACGAGATAACCGTGTAAATAGTTTTTTGTTTTTAAAGTAAAGCCCATTGAAACAATGCCCATAGAGAATATGGCAGAAATTATCTTGCAGCAGTGACACATGAAAAGGATAGCAGCCTTCCAGTATCTGAAGGGGCCTATAAGGATGCTGGAGAGGGACTCTTCATTAGGAACTGTACTGATAGGACAAGGGGCAATGGGTTCAAACTTAAACAGGGGAAGTTTAGATTAGATACAAGGAAGAAGTTCTTTATTATGAGGGTGGTGAGGCACTGGAATGGGTTTGCCCAAGGAAGTTGTGAATGCTCCATTCCTGGTAGTGCACAAGGCCAGGCTGGACACAGCCTTCAGTGACATGGTTTAGTGCGAGGTGTCCCTGCCCATGGCAGGGGGATTGGAACTAGATGATCTTAAGGTCCTTTCCAGTCCTAACTATTCTACGATTCACTGATTCTATGAATAGGCAAAGAAAAGGCCACACAGCACATGAAAATAATTTTGTTTCAAGAGGTGCAAGCATCAGAGAAGTAATGTCACAGGATGCTGTAAAGGCTCTTGGGAGGTTAATGTAACTACTTCCCACTGGGCACACTGTAAGACAGCCATCTTAAAACTTCAGGTTACACCTCAGATTGCCAATTGTTCATTTGAGTCCACTCACACACTTATGCAGGTCATCAGGGCTAGTCATTAATAGGATGAAAATACAAACTTTATCCATTAAGTTTTACGAGGAAAGAGACTTGCTGTCTTCTCTATGTGTTTAAAAGCAAGTTCCTTGGGTAAGCCAAGGCAGCATCCCCAAATCCTACATCTTAACTTTCTCCAATAGTTCTCTGGATCCTTTTCCTAGTTTCAGGATATCCTAAGTCTGTACTAGTCCAAGGAAAAGAAAATTCAATAGTATGCCTGGATACCATGCTAGGTTTTTTTTCAACATGCTTCAACAGTGAGAGGGCAAGGCAGCAGGAACCAGGTCAGTCCAGTGGTTTCTGAAGTGCTGCAGTAGGGAGTATGAGGTGAGCAGCAACATTCCCTATCTGAAAAGTGGTATTAGCAGTTCAAGCTAATATGGTTCACGACTGGGGGACGGATGGTTTGAAGTCAGGCAGGAGGGCTTCAGTTTTGAATAGTGTTTATTTTAAGCAGGGGAGTTAAGGAAGTCATGTTACCAGCTTTTGCTAGTGACATCTGGAGGCAGACCCAGAGTCTCAGGTGATGCTGAGGGGCAGTCATGTCCTTCTAATGACAGTAGCCCAGGCTTCTTCAATGGCACTGATATATTTCTAAAAGCAAGTATAGCATGGGGTCTTCAAAGACTATTTTTAATTTTACATTTGTTTTGGATCAGTTCAGTGGTAGAAACGCGGGGTGGGGGGGAAGCAGTGACTGAAGACTTAACACTCACAAGTTTTGCACACGTGTAACTGCAGCTTTCTGCCTACAACCTAAAGGAAATTTTCTTATCCTCACCAGTTTTATCATGAAATAATGAAGTTCACAAACTTCTGTGAAATTGTTCACAACCCGCAAACAGCATGGCAGCTTTACTCAAACATTCTCTTCAGTTCCGAGTTCTGTAACTACATAGACAGCTACTTCTCACAAAAAAAAACAAGAAGGGCAAAAGGAAGAAAGAAGAGACAGAATGAAAGAAATACTTATTAAAGTTTCTAGTAATTATGTGAAACTTAACAGAAACTAAACAAAGAGCAGTCATATTAAAGTGAGAGAATATAAGGTATTTCATACAGCCTACCCAAACTAACCCTGCTTGCATGATTTTTTTTTCCAGAGTGCTTCAGAGTAACAGTGGATTGTCAGCATTTTAGCACATCATACCTTGTTTATTTGAAATGGCACTTCTGCTGTCCTCTCTTTGTCAAACTGCTTTGCCCAGTTGCCTTTGAAATAGATGGCATTCACCAACACAAGTCTGGTCAGTGAATCGAGAATGCCCTCTCCCAACAGGTTCTGAATTTTACCTTTACGATACATGGGGGGAGGGGGAAAAAAAGAATTTTTTTTAAACAGCTTAACATGTATCTAATTATCTAATATAGTACCTACTCTGTAATTAATATAGATGAGAGAATTATGTACCAAACAGAGCAAGAACTCAATGTCATGCTCAATATTTGGGTTTTTTTTTTATTCACAATACTGTATCTTGAAATAGCTCTTTACCCAAGCCAGGGCTGACATTAAATACAACATGGCATCTTGCAAAACACTCACCTTCAGTCCTTTCCTCTACCCAGCCATTTATTTGTTTTCTGGAATCCTCCCACGCACGCATGAAGTCAGTCTTTTCTAGTCCAGCATGGTAGGATTTTTGACTCAACTCTACAAATGACTGACACGGACATTCAGAATAGCTTTTCAACAACATTTTACTCCCATTCAGCCACAGATGAATCCTAAATACACCAAGAAAGTCTGCCCACTCTTCTACCCCAGCTTCATATTGAGCCATTGAAGTTTTGCTTTCACACTCCTATTAGGTTTTATACCATCTATTTGAACCAGGAACTGTCCACTGTATGTTAAATCACATGTTAAAGTTCTACATAACTGAAAACTGATGTAGCTAGGTTTTTTGGTTGGCGTTTGTTTTTTTCTTCATTGAGAGAACGTAATTTTGTAAGCTTCTCTTGACATAAATTTCATTGCTAAACCTCCCAAGCTAATAGAAAACTCTTCAGAAGGTAAACTGATTTTTCTTAGGAAAAACCCCATGTCTTCTGTCCGATTTAATATACCTAGATCTTTATTACACAGATGCAAAGTTTTAAAGTACAACCCATGTAAGTTTTATCTATTAGACAGGTGAAATACTACCATTCTTCATAAAAAGAATCATCATAAATTACTCCCGGGGGGGGGGGGGGGGCTAGGGAATGAAAGGGAAAGAGAGGGGGAAAGTAGAGCCTTTTATCTTCTTGCTCTTAGGCAATCATCTAAAGGAGCACATGTAACACAGTACCTACTATCTTATTTAGATCTTCTGACAAAGAAAATCTTTTAAGTCATTTATTCCTCTCAGTATGATCTTTGAATGGCTTATGTAACAGAAGAAATACAAAATACTGCCCATGCTGAATAGGAATGACAATTCTTTTGTATCATATTTACACACTATCAATGGAAAAGAGGTACGTCAAGTATTTGTCCCACAGCCAAAAATATGAATGGATCATGGAATTCTGAAGAATTCAGAGTCTGATGGATTTCATAGTGCTTTGCACCAGTTGTGCACTTGGTCACAGGTTACGTAAAAGGAGCTTCTCCATCAAGTTCAGATACCAGGCTCTGGCATAACCTACTGCATTAGTAGGTGTCAGCCCAAAAAAAATGGAAAGTAAAATCCAAAGCTTGTCTTAGACCTCTGAAGGAAATAGGAAGCCAATACATTATACTAAAAAAATTACACAAATTTAATGGTTACTTACTGAGAGAAACTCAAATGTCTTTTCTCCATAAAGTCGGTTAGCAGTTCTCAGTATATATTTGGTGTTTGGATCATTAATTTCAGAGAGAAGTGACTGATACCCATTGTGAGCATCCTCAGCCGTTTTCAGAGAAAGCACCTGTAGAAAGACAAACATCTTCAGCAAGAGTCCACGCCCTCCCTAAACACACTAGCTTCAACATGATTTTTTTCTTAATGACTTTTGGGGTTAAAAACTGACTTGAAGACAAAAGATTTTTCATCAAGCCTCCCATCAGGAGCTTATCATGCAAATCACATATGAAGCACCCAGACAGGTGTTGTACAAGTACTGAATTAGGGAGCAGAAAAGTCAGCAGTATTTAGTTTCCTTCACTCAAGTCAAGCATTACAGGGTCATCAAGGTTGGAAGGGACTTCTGAAGATCACCTAGTATAAGATCCCTCCTCAAGCAGGGCCACCTACAACCAGTAGCCCAGGACCACGTCCAGATGGCTCCAAGAATGGCAATAATACTGTTTTAAAGGAATTTCCATACATTTAAAAAAACCCTAAAAAACTGTGTTTATATGCTATTTTGACTTCCCAAAATAAGCAAACATAGGAACAAAAATGATTGATTATACTTTCAATAGTCAGTTGCACAGGTAAAAAAACCACACCAAGTGGTATTTGCCACCTGAGCTAGTTTAAGAAAATGTTAAGCCTGGTGACATTTTCAAAACATGTATAGTCTGATATTAAGCAAAAAGAACATACTGGAAGAAAGTATTTTATGTAGCTCAATTCATCAAACCTACACAAAAAAGCCAGGTAACACTTAATGACATATTGAAGGAAGATCTGTCTCAAAAGACCAAACACAAGAAAACCACACACAAAACTAAACAGGAACCTCTGAATTTCATACCAAAGAAAGATCCTCCAATAAAACCAATAAAACCAGGTACTGCTTACATACATACCAAATAAAGACCTTTGCTCTTTCAGAGAAACCAGAATGACAATAATAGTTTAGCAGAAGTTCAGGTCACAGTCTGTAATACCGATCTGCTGCTCATATAGTCCCATCAAATTCAATACTGAGACATACCTTTACTATTTGGGCTCCAGTGTTACCTTTTGAACCCAGCAGAACCATAGACAATGAAGAAGAAATACTAAAAGGAGAAAAGAACAGATTCTGCCCACTTCTGTTCTCACACAGCTTTCTTAAGAGGTCGAGCGCGAAAGCGGTATTTGCTGCACAGAGGCTATCCATGGTTCAGAGCCTGGGAGATAAAATATAAACCAAGAGTGACTCAAATTTATTCTTATATAAACTGACAACTTCTTTCTGTCTTTTATATTTCCCAGAATAAACTACGCAGAAAATGTCACAATTACATTGGAAAATTATCAAGTCACTGAAAAACTGATTTGGTGGAGCAAGCACCTTAAATGCCATAGTAGGCACTTAAGTTACTTTGGTGATTTATTGTTTGCTTTTCTATTTAAATCCTATACCTACAAGAGAGATAGCAGTTCCTACCTGTGCCATTAGACTCTTCACTATGTAAATAATACTACATCTTTTGAGACAATCAGATATAACAGTATTTTGTTTAGGATTTATTGAAACGTCGCTTTTGACCTCACAAAGACAATTATCTGCCTTTACAGGAAAACCAGAGCAGAAGATCAGGTATCACAATAGCAGAATTATAAACTCTTACCTTGTCTGTGTATCTTCAGTACTACCTTCAGCTTACTGGTACATGCGCATGCTGTGATTTATACCTAACAGCCACTCTGGCAGACGTCTGCAGAATTACTTGACCTACAAGATCAAAAAGAAAAAAAAAAGTTACTTGGTCAGCATGACGATTACTGTAATTTCCTCCTATAGTACAACGAAAAATCAAAGTCCATTTCAGTTCCATTTTATTGCCTGCAACACGGAAACACACACACACAAAAAACCCAACCCTGCCTAGAGGTAACTTTATGGGACATGCACAGTGCAACACATGTAAGTTGCATGTACATAGTGTGTAACAGGCATGTGTATGCCCGATTTACATTACGGACATCAGATGTGTAGACAGCTAACCTGAGATTAAACCACACACCTATTAATGGAGCAATAAATACTAGAATTCTGACTTAACTGCAGTATCACAAGACATTGTAAACTATCAGTTGGCAGTAAAGTCATCTACATTTTTTCCTTCCCTTAAGGCAGTACCTACTGTTGATACGTTGCTACAAAATAAAAAGCCAACACTAATTCATATCACTGATTCATTATCTCAAAAAATTAGGTGGAAAGGACAAGCTTCTGCACGCATGATTTTCTACCTACGAAAATTTTCTGCTAGTAGCTCCACTATAAACAGCAGTAACTTTTCTCCTATTTCTCTTCTCCCATAACTGAAAAGGAGGGCGGAGGTGGGGTGCAAGATTAGGTAGAAACAATCCTCCAGTTCTGTGTGAAATGAGTAATTTAACTACAGATACTTTAATGTATAACTAAGAGGCACTTTGCATTTTCAGTTTGTGGTGGTTACAGCAAACCCCCAAATTTCCCTACTGTCCTAATACCTGCAGATTACTAGCAATAAGACTTTTTTGACCTGTAGGCCAAACCACACAGGAAGAGTGACACCTGCAAGCAGTTATTGTCTAGAAAGTTTTTGTAGGACTGCCACTCCAAGCAAGATCTAACAGACAAAGGGATATAACTTATGCTATTTGCCTACTTGAAAATCAGTGCATTTAATCAAGTTGTAAGTAACATTTCAACAGCTGTTATCAGCTATTGTTCCCATGCTTAAAGTAAAAAACACAGCACTACACCAGCTACTAAGAAGAAAAATGACTGCTACTGCTGAACTCAGGATATACACAATGGCTGCACTTTAAGGAACAAAAAATGTATGACACAAGCATGCATTTATCACTCAATTGTAAACTGTATGCTGCAAAACCCTCAGTGATCACAGGGTTTGCTGACAGTAACTCATTCCTCACTCTGGTCTCCCTGTGGAAGTTCCTGGGTGCCCTGACCCTGTGCATTCCTACCATTATGAATTTGAAGCATATATTCTCAGCAGTAGACCCCTATGCTAGGAAAGTCTTTAGGGACAGGCTGTACCTACCTCCAACAGCAGATATACACTACAGTGTCTCTCTCAGCTAGTTTTTTGCCATGGGGGGGCCTGGCCGGAGCAGGGTGCAGGGAGCTCCAGCCCGTGGCCCAAGAGACATATGCCACCAAGAGTACAACACAGATTAGTGCCCACTATATTCAGATGCCTTCCTATCCAACGTCAGCTGCCTCTGAGGAATCACAAAACAACTGTTTCAAACACAGAGGAGGAACTCAGGGTGATGAACATCAGGTGGTGTCACTCTCCACAGGGAGCTGCATATGGGGCACAGACATCTTTTTCTACCCTCTGAACCAAAGCAACCTTTCTCGAGGAAAAGGCATCTTTACTTAGGTTTAGGAGAGTCAGGACAGACGTTCAAACATCTGAAAGGTAAAACTGCTAACAGCTCCAGATAGCTGCTCTTCACATCACACCTCTCTGGGGCGAGCAGCACGATACAGGGAATGACACATCTCCATGAGCACCCAACATCACCGGCCCTAAGCTCCGACAGGGCCTCAGCAGGAGTGGACAGGAGCAGGGGGTCGCCAAGGTCTGACCCCATCCCAGCAAGCTCAGGCACAAAAAGACAAGGGCTTGGCACTCCCTAGGGGGAGAAGACCCTCCTCTGGGCCCCTGCTGGGCTTGTCACCACAAACAAGACATCAAAACTCAACATTTCTGCATGGCCCCATCACTTCTACACATGAAATACGCCCTCTACACGCCACTGCGACTTCAGCTGGCAAGCAGCAGAAACCACGAGAGATAAAGGCACAAAAGCAACGCCACACAGCCTCTACAGCACAGGCTCCCCGTAGGAAACGGCATCCCCAGGCCAGCAGCACACTCACCCTACCGGCCGCCGCGCTTCCCTCCTTCCGGAAGCGCCGCAGAGCCGGGGGAAAGACCGGCCGCTCGCCACCCCCCCCCCCCCCCCCCAAGCCGCGCCCCGGGATCGAGCCGGAGGCTACGGTGCTTCCTTGTTCGCAGCGGCCAACGGGGAAGCTCCACGGCCGTATCGGCCAAAATGGCGGCTGGCCACCGCCCACTCCCGCAAAGAGACCTTCCTCTCCGTTACACACACACACCCCCACACCCCCCCCCCGGGCACAGCCGGTGATCTTCCAGCTCTGTCTCCCTCTCCTGGCAGAGCTGACAGCAAACAGGTTGTAATTATTGTTGATCAGTCTTGAAGCACGGCTTGTTTTAGACGAAAATGAGCTGCTGCTGTACAGGCTTGGGCCCTCCTCGTGTACCCGAGGGTCTGAGTGAGGCAAATAGTCCCTGTAGAGGTGTATTTTTAATTTTATTTTTTTTTTAAGGAAATCTGTGGAGTGACATGTGAAGCTAATTTGAGTTTAAATTCGGAGCTGCTGAAGGTTTAAACCTAGGATGTGGAAGGAAGACAAGGGGATGGGCTTGGGTGTGGAGGGTCTGCCTCTAGCTGCAATGCAAGGACCGAATCGAGGGCTAAGCAGGGTGTAACTGCTGCAGGCTGGGAGTAAGTGCTCAGACCATGTTTGAGTCAGGGGCTCTAGTCATGGGGTGAGGAGAGGGACTGTGTTAGCATGTGTTTGTATGCACTGCTCAGAGGGGAAGGGGTAGAAATGCCACAACTAATAATGGTTAGGACAGAGCTATCCTTGATGGCCTGGTCTGAATGACAACCAGGATTGCTCTATGGATGCAAGCTATTGTGCCCTCCTCTTGGGCCTGGCATGGTTATCCCTTCAGGGTAAGAGGGAGGAGCTGTGCCTCTGGCCCGGGGGTATGTGGCATGATGGACAAAGGATCAAGGTCCTTCCCCACCTAATTGCAAACAAGCATCTAAGGTGCTGCAGGGCCATGAGTGACTGGCTAGGGTGAGCAGAGTCTGCCATAGAAGAGAATGGTTTGTGATTTGTTGTGTCTGATGAAGAAGAGAAAAGGGTGGTCAGCTTTAAAAGTCATTGTTGGTGCTTTTGATCTTAGCACCAGAACACCTGTGGCAGCTGCTGCCTCAGTACCTTCTTCGTTGACCTCCACAAAAGCTTTGTGAATAACTTTTGAGATGAAAAGATCCTTCTTCACTGACATCCCTGTGAAATCAGCCTGAACAGGGTCAAAAGCATTTTGTATTCCCATGCTGCTCAAAGTGGATTTAAGGTCATAATTCTCTTCCACTTTCAACTTGGGCAGGTACAGATCCACTTCAGCTTTCATCATATTGGCTGGTTTGGTCCATTCAGCCAGTTTCTCGTAGGTCAGCTCTCTTTCTATCTGCAATGAGTCAAGGAAGAAAACAGTTGGAATGTGAAGTACAGAGACAAGACATGCGCATACCAGTGTTATAACACTCATCATATAAGGAAAGCAAGTGTCTGGAAAACATAGGGTTGAAATACTTTTAACTTAACTTAGGTCTAAGATAGAGAACAATGTTGCATTGTAAGTCTGTGGTGTGATAACAGACTTTAGTAGTCTTACTAACGTGAGTGAATTATTTCTTACCATCCTTCTAATGTGTGAATTATTCCTTACCATCCTAATTATCTAATTATCAGTTAGTTTGGTGACAGTGACTCCCGAACATCTGCTAGCTTAGGATACTCCTAGTTTGCCCATCCTGCTTTGCTTGCAATAAATTTCGTATGAAGGTCACACTGTTCTAACTCTTTGCCAGCTATCAGAACCTTACAGATATGGCTCGTTTCAGCTAGTTTTGTGATTGCTGGGGCATCCAGCTTTGCCAAAGATGAAAAGTACACTGTGAGGAAGACTTCTTACTTCATCTAGAAGACCCCTGCCCACGATTGTCAGAGGGCAGTGCGCAACTACCAAAAGGGAGGAGACTTATGATAATGAGTTCCTAAACTAATTTTAATAGCCCCGCTGATCTCTTGGGGAACATAATGAATGTGCATGTTTGTGTGTAATAAATATCTTCTCGCTTAACTCCTTGGTGTGCAAGTTAGGAGGAGCGATTCCCCTTGCACCTGGGCCCATAATAAACATACCTGCTTTATAACTCTCCTTGAGTTGAAGAGTCTGTTTTCATGCTTCACTCATCAAGAACATGTAAAACAAAACCCAGCCACCAGCAGTGGCTACAGCTGGAACATGCACCACATTCATAAGGCATGATCCTGCAAAGTTCTGCGTGACTTATACTCCTATTTATTTTCTTAAAGGTGGTGAGGTATAGGCCTGAAACCTTGGAGTAGTTGCATTTTTTTTCTGGTGTGAAGAATATTGCTTTTTTGCAATGTGTGACTTATAATGATATTAATAAGCTCTTGCTTTGTGTGTATATGGATAACTTTTCTCCTAGTAGTGGGAAATAAGTGGAATGCATGGGATCTGAGGTACAAATAAGATGTTTGTCCTGATCTGTTTAGAATCTGAAACTTATCCTGGCGTGGTCATGAGTGGCTGTTGATAGCTTCTGGGTCAACACCTAGTTTGAGAAGCCACCACAAAATACCAGGTGCAAATCTGGACTGCAAATGGTATAAAAATTAATACAGGTTTTAGGAGAAGATAACTTTAGAGCGCAGTGTTTCAGATTTGGTCTTTCCTTTGTTTGTGCTGTTCTGGCAATAGAAAAGAGGACGCAAAACAGTCTTAGCCAGTTGTGCAGACATAGTTTTTAGATGCATCTGTAAGTAAAATACTATGTGTGAAATACTATCAGATGCCCTCAGCTTAGCAGCTGGGAAATTATGGTGTTAATGAAACAAAGTATTCACACATCAAAACCTATTCTACCATGATTCTGAAGCTCGTTCTTCCTCACTTTTTTAATCAATTTTTGTTACTGTATCATAGTGTATGTGACACAACAGCAGGTCAGTTTTACCAGCTCCAGACCCGTAGTGTTATCATTGATGTCATCTGGTAGGAGGACAAACATGCTCAGTTCATTTTCCACGTACGGCAGTTCAATGATTTTGAATTTCATGGTTGTTTCATGGAGTATCAAAAATGTATCTCTCAGAAACATCATCTGTACCAGTTTAGTCTTGGTCTGTGAAGAAAATCAGATGTGAAAAAAATCAGACATGAAAAAAATAGTTACTTCATTCCTTAAAATGGAAGTTTACTTGCTTAGTTGCACTGGAAGAAAAAATTTACAAACAAGTACAAGACACAGCAGCATTTGAATACACAGTACCCTTTTCTTCATACGGTATCACATACACTCCTCTTTTCAAAGTGATTGGGATCCTTACAAAAATAGATACCTGCTAACTGAATCACATGTCATGTATTTCTTGTTTTAAAATGAAGGAGTTAGCTTTGATAAGCAAATAACTGCTGTGAGTGTTTCATGTTTTCTCCCAAAAGTTACATTTTTGGAGTAAGGGCCTTGATTGGGGGAAAAATTGTTCACTTTCTCCTTGGGGATGCCATCAACCCTTTTGTTTTATCGTGTTTTATCGTTCCCATCCTGTTTTATCCTTCCAGGCAATACTGAACACTTTGCTTCTGAACCATATTTTCTGTGGCTTGTGCTGGCTTTTCCTCTTCCCCAAACCACAGAGGACTGTATTACCAAATGAAACTGCATTACGCCGTAGTCTTTTGAACTCCTATACTGTGCTTTGTTCACAGAGCTTTTATTAATATATCCACTCTCAGCTTCACATTGTTACATTTGAGTGCAAAAGTTTATCTGTTCACAGGCTTTGCTATGAAGTATCCTGTGAATTAAACTGTCTCTGTGCACAATGTATTGGCTTTACACAGCAAGGTTTTTGTAGCAAGGGGATGCAGGAGTGACTTCTGTGTGAAGACTTAAGAAGTTGCCTCCATGTCAGGCAGAGCCAGTTCCAGACCCACCACTGGTCAAAGCTGAGCGAGTCAGCAATGTTGGTAACATCTTTGTAATAACATAGTTAACAAGGGACTGTGCAACAGCAGCTGGGAGAGAGGAGTGAGAATATGTAAGTGAAACAGCTCTGCAGACACCAAGGTCAGTGAGGAAGGAAGGGCGCAGGTGCTCCAGGCATCAGAGCAGAGATTCTCCTGCAGCCCATGGCAAAGACCATGATGATGCAGATAACCACCCTGCAGCCTGTGGAGGACCCCACACTGGAGCAGGGGGATGTCCAAAGGATGCTGTGACCCTGTGGGAAGCCTGCACTGAAGTAGGTTCCTGGCAGGACCTGTGGCCCCATGGAAAGAGGAGCCCATGCTGGAGCAGGTTTGCTGGCAAGATTTGTGACCCCGCAGGGGACCCATGCTGGAGCAGCCCGTTCCTGAAGGACAGCACCCCATGGAAGGAACCCACACTGGGGCAGTTCATGAAGAACTGCAGGCTATGGGAAGGACTAATGTTGGACATGAATGACTATATCACATGGGAGGGTCTCCACATGAGCAAAAAAATGTGAGGAACAGCAGAAACATGTGATATGAACTGACTGCAATCTCCATTCCCCATCATTCTGCACTGCCTTTGCGGGGTAGATAGAAGAGTTTGGAGTGAAGTTTAGCCTGAAAGAAGGAAGGAACCAGGGAAGGTGTTTTATATTTGGTCTTATTACTTATTAACCTACTCTGATTAATTTACAATAAATTAATTTTCTTAAGCCAAGGCTTTTTTGCCCAGGATGGTGATTGGTACATTCTCCCTGTCTTTGTCTTGGCCCAGGAGCTTTTCGTCCTGTTTTTCTTTCTCTGTCCAATTGAGAGGTGGAGTGATAGAGAGGCTTGGTGGGCAGCTGGTGGCCAGCCAAGGTCAACCCACCACAACCATGTATCATGGTGGATCCTAAAACCACACCTGTAGCATAGTAGGTACACAGTAGGTTTTAGGTACACAGTCCCATCATTGACATAATTGCTTCATCTTGCTTGGCACACAAAAGGTGTTTGCACTCATAATCTATGTCAAACAAGATACTTCCCATTGACAAATAATTTTGCTTGCCTTTAGCACAGTCCAAAAATCTGCATGCAGTCAGCTACTGTGAATCATCAGTACACTAAATACTGTCAGCTCAATAACATGCCCTCCATGTATGCTGAATACATCATCCTCATGCACTCAGCTAAAATGACAGCCCCCATGAAATTTCCCTCTGAGGTTTTATGCAACACCCAGGGGACAAACAGCTTGTTCAGTTTCCTTGAACTCAGAGTACAGGCTGTGTCGTAAAAACAGAAGAGAGCTGTAGGTGTGTAAACAGTGCTCTCAAAAGCAACTCAGTCTCTTTTGAAAGTGGGACCTTGGTACTTATTTCCGCTTCTTCAGCTGGTGTTCTCAAGTGTTTTGATACTGAAGAGCTATTAATTAAAAATCTTATTCTCATGAATATGCATGGATAATGCTGAGTTATTTTCACAGTTGCTGTTCTCACTGAGTTTATACCATGTGTCCAGCTACAAGGAGCGTTTCAGTGGCATATGAAATGTGGGTGAAGTATTCAGAGGTTTCTTGCTCCTCAGCAATAGACATATTGACATATGATAACAGGCATATAGACAAGGAATTTACCTTGCTCACTCTGAAGGGTGTCTCAGAAGTATTTTTCTCCAGAAATTTCTTTTCCCAATTTCCTCTGAAATAAATGGCATTCACTAAGACCAACACAGTGCGAGAACTGAGAGATCCTGCAGGCAGCAAACCTTGTATTTTCCCTTCAAAATCAGACAAATAGAACTGTTATTTCAGTGGGACTATATCACTCACCAATTTTAATTGTTCCTTCTCAATGCCTACCTCTCTAGCAAAGATGTTTGCATTTGGGAGGAGTTTTTACTGTACATTTTTCATGGTGTACATATGGTTCAAATGGCTTTTGAAGTATATAGATATTTATTGCAATTACGACAGTAAATGGCATTGGAAAGTGGGTAAAGTGTAATAGCTTGGCTATTCTGTGAAGATGGTTGCAGGCAGCTGAAGAAAGCAGAAGTAAAAGCCTCACTAATCAGAGTGAAGCCAATCAATATCTACCTGTGCCTTCCTCTGAACAGAAATAATTCAGAAGAGGCTATGGCATGAAGAATCAAGGGAAGGACTTTGTAAGGAGCATCAGTTTGGAGAGAGACGTTCTTTATGCTTTTTAACTGTGCTTTGCTCATTACTTCCCCTGAGTTTTCAAGACTACAGGAGCAATAAGTGTGGAAATACATATTATTTGAAAGCTAGACAAGAAAAAAGCCACCAGAGTGGTACTTACTCCCAGTTTCATTTTCAACCCAAGAATTGATTTGTGCTCTGGCTTGTTCTGCAGCTGTCCTAAAGTTTACAGCTTGTGGCTTTGCATTGTAATAGTTTGTAATGAGCTGTGAGAATTTCTGAAAGATAAAATTGGAAAATGTATGCTTATTTAGTTTGAATTATAAAAATGTTAGAAATAATCACTTCAACAGGTTATACAATCAGCTGATAACTTCATTGAAGAAAACATACTTTGTTTTAAATGAGATAAGCCTTTAAAAATAAAGTCTAATATATTCTATACTAAATATTAATTAAGGACTGATCAAACTTCAGTCTCAAGGAATCTGATGCTTCAAATTTTTGTGTTTGAAATCCAAGATTCAATTTGTAACTTTGAAATGCCCTATGAAACATTCTTCTTTTGGGTTTTTCTTGTTTTGGATTTTGGTGGTTTGATTTTTTGTTGCTATTTTTGGTTGGTTTTTTTTTTTTAACTTCTCAAAATGACCTTTCTATATAATTTAAATACTTCCTTCCTGCTTTATGAAGTAGAATTCATAAATCATAGGATTCATAATTCATAAATCATCATTTGCCCAGGGAGGTTGTGAATGCTCCATCCCTGGAGGTGTTCAAGGCCAGGCTGGACGGAGCCTTGGGTGGCATGGTTTAGTGTGAGATGTCCCTGCCCATGGCAGGGGGATTGGAACTAGATGATCTTAAGGTCCTTTCCGACCCTAACTATTCTATGATTCTAATTCAGTACAAGAGGGAAGAATAGTTTGATATGAAGCTGAAACAAGGCTTTTATTTTGCTACAGAGGACAATAAAGGATCGGGCATAAAGGGAACATTCTGGTAGAATGAAGTCATAGGACAAAAGCAGAATTAATGTTTGCATTGCTGTCTGCTGTAAAACAGTTCATGGAGATTCCGAGCAGAAAATTCTTCAGATTTCCTGTAAAGCATGAGATTATGGAGAAAATGAGCAATAAACTTCAGAAGGACAAATTACTAATTACTTAGGAGACCAAACAAACTCTAAGATCAAACAACAGTAATCTCATTTGAAACCACCTTCCAGGAAACTGGAAGATGATTAATACAACATCAGTTTTTAAAAAGATGTCAAAAATACAGGTGATTACAAAGTCATGAGTCTGTACGGGGCAAATAGAATAGGTGTAGTGGGTGTAGGAGTAAACTTGATGTATTGAAGGGATGCCAACAGCATTTTGTAATAGGAAATCCTAAATCACAAATCTGCTGGCATTTTTTTAAGGTGTTGGGAAGGGTATGGGTAGCAAGGTTGAGTCATTACAGTCTATCTATTTGGATTCAAAAGAGCATTTCAAAGACAATTCCTAAGACTTCTCACCAAAGGCTGAGCATCCATGGGAGTGCAGAGATAGATCCTGTTTGTTTGAAAGACTGGAAACCAAGAGTAGGAGGAAACTCTTCACAGTGAATGGTTATTACTACTGGAGAACCAAAGGGATATCTGATGAAGTCTGTGCTAAAGTATTTATTCTAAATGTTTGCATTAACATATAAATATTAAAATATTTATAAATGATCCAGTGAAGAGTAAGGTACAGAAAATTATTATTACTGTTTAGGAACGAGGTACTGAAGCTATAATGGGCAGTTGATAGGAAAATAATCTGACCAACTGCCATCAAAAGGAAAATACAAATTCAAGAATTACAAAGAAAGGAGTAGGGAACAAAAGAAAGATAGAATATTAGAATGGCACTATATAAAGCTATGGCAAGCCCATTGTCTGAGTTCTGTATGCAGCCCTGGCCTCCTCTGTCTCACAAATGCTAGAATATAAAAGATACAGAGACAGGTGAGGAGGATGACCAGAGATATGGAGAAGCATCCTTTAGAGGAAAAATAAACCAATAATGATGCCAACAGGTAGCAGTCTCAAAAGACACAGCCACTGATGAGGGTTCCCTAGATGAGGGTTGCAGTAGATTCAAAACACAAGCCTGCAAATTCATGAAGTGCCTGAGCTGCAGATGTCTTGGTGACTGCAGCAGATTCCGGAGAAGCATCACTACACAGCATGCCTTGTTCTCATGCATTTCCTAAACTGCTGGCCACTGTTATAGACAGATGGACCTCTTGTCTACCCACATGTCTGTCCTGGTGTGCTCCCTGAAACCACAGTGGTATCATCTGAAGATTTTTTATAATCTCCATTGATAATCCCTCTTAATGTTTCAAAATATTCTCAAGTAAAGTTGTAAACTCACGGGCAGTAATGGGTAGGTCTTTTCCCCATACAGTCGATTGGCACTCTTAAGCAAGTAGGTACTTCTGGGTTTGTTCAAGGCAGACAGAAGCTCTTTGAAGCCAGAGTGGATGTTTTCAGCTTGCTTGTGCTCAGGATCCTTGGGAAGAGACACCAGTTAGTATGGATTCTTTTTTAATTAAAATGGAGTTTTGGGGAATGGAGCTCTTTTCTTGATATGTTACACATTTGCAGTACTGTGTATAACTGGACAAATTGTTTCCTGTCTGTAGGTTGATGATATGTTTCTGTTGTGCCGTGCCGGCCTTTGGGGACATTAAGAACCAGGAAGTTGACTCTCTTCATTCCAGTCATGGTCAGGCCTACTTTTCAGTTTCACAAGGCCTGGTCAGTGCAGCCTGGCAGCTTCTGAGAAGGTGCTCTGTTCTGATAAACACTAATGTCAGGGCATGAACTTACCAACTATACAGATTTTCTCTGTTTCACATGAATTTTGTTGTTACTATTTGAATTTTGGAGGGAACTTGTCCTTGATGTCAGTTGGTGGTCTCAGGGAGCATGCAAGCTGTTGCCAGCTGTTGCTTTGCTGATGGAGGAATAAACTGCTATCTGTTAGCTACTTCCCTCCAGCTGCTTGGGTGCAGTCTCCTCCTTCATGGTGTCTACTGTGCCCTGCATATGAGACACCGAGAGTGTGTGCCACTGACTCATGGTGACTTGTCATAAGGTTGGTAAGGTGGCATTCCTTGCTCTAGTGTTTTCTCACTCATGCTGAGACGTGGGCTGCTAGAAAGGACTCCTAGGAAAGAATTTAGTAGCCAGGGGGCATGGAATAGGAGAGGCTGGATTTTGCAATGGGAGAGGCTGGATTTTGCAATGGGATGGGAACAGGCTTGAAGAGGTAATAGAGGGAAATATCTGAAGGATCGGGTTAGGCAGACTTTGCTGCAACTCAGAACTGACATGAGTTGCTAAAATGAGCATGGATGTAATGATTCATCTTGAAGATTAGTCCCCCTCCATCTAGGAAGAGAATTATATAATTCCCTTCCGCCTTTTATTTCCAGTTTATCTAATCTAGTTTCTTTGAGCTTTATTTTAGTTTTTGTGCCAAAGAAACATGGCTTGTTTGAGTTTACAAGCCTTTCCGTGTTCATTTGATGAAAAACTGGTACCCCCTTGTGGCAAGTCTCTGGCGAGCTGACGAACGTTATGAACGTATATTAGCTTAAACGGGAATTTTGTTTGCCTGATGTGTCCATGAATGAGAAAAGTGGAAGGGAGTTTATTGTGAATGCAGTAACTGTTTTTCACTACAAAAAAAAAAAAAACAAAAAAAAAAAAACAAACAAAAAAAAAACCCAACAACCTAAACTGAAGCTGGTAAGAGACAGAATTGTCCTAAGCATATTAGGACAATTGATCTGTTGTTGCTTCCATAGACCCACTAAAACCAAGTAAGGTGGTATTAGGCAAATCAAAGTGCCACTAGTGTCTCAGTTCTGCTTTTGAAGGCCCAGGTTCATGAGTTTTACAATAACTTTGCTGCTTCTTTGCATTTGCTCTTTCTATATGTAGTTCTTACTGAAGTGCTATAGCAGATACAGACTGAAGACAAGCAGATGTTAAAAGGCTGACAGTAAATTAAACAGTAAACTAACTAAAGCAGTAGTTGTGTTTAACTATCTCCTTCTCAGAGATTTTTTTTTTCTCTGAGTCTTTCTTTGCAACAAATACCATCTTTCTTCTCTTTGGACTCCCCAGAGAAGGCCTTGTTGTCCCAGATGAGCTTTCTTCTCTTGCAGCCTGGTTAAAATGAAGAACCTGTGATGATGACAGATGTTCATAAAAACAGCTTTTTATTTGAAGATAAATGTGCTCAAGAGTTATACAAGTATGTTAGTTTTCTGTGGTAATTCACCAGTCATGCCCAATGAAGTGTAGTCTATTCAAGTTATTAAGGACATGACCTTACTCTCAATTTAGTCTCTATAAATTGTATCATTACTGGATAGAATTCAATCACATGCACTGCTTAATAATAGATCAATATTATGGCTAAAGCATTAATTTATTTAGGTAAATGTCAGTTTATTTCGGTGAATGTTTATTTTGTGCTTAGCTGCATGGAATTTATTTTCAGATCATGACCAAACACAACAAAGAGCATAGTGCACTTCAGAATCTTACTGCTGGGACACAAATGGAAAACTCTGCATTTAATGTGTTGAAGTAAATGTGTATAACCTAGAAGAGTACAAAGATTGAATAATTCTGCAAAAGTGGGCACAAGTGAAGTTGTATTTTCAGTAGTATTATGTCTTCATTATTTGTGGGAAGATTACTTCATTTACGGACTACGTCACAAGCAAAGGTATTTGTGCTGCTTCTGTGCAGGAGAGCTTACTGACTTTGGTATGCAGTATGAGAAAGCATATACACTGTTTGTAGAATCACCTGGGGTCTAAAAGCAGTGATACTATCTCCAGCTTTTCTTTTTTGTAGCATGTCTTAGCTCCATTTTTTTTAAATAAAGTTGTCTTTTTATTACTATTTGAGCACCATTATCAGGTGGATTATTCTGTTCAAAGGACAATTAAAATGGAAGGTAATGATCCAAGTAAGACCAGCAGCAGCCTTTAATGTCAGTAACTTCTCTCTGGCACACCACTTGCAATGCTCTAGCAGCTGTAAGTGTAAGCTAAATGCTGGGGTGGTGCAGAGGAGGGTGATCTTGGAAATAAAGTGGAAGAACAGTGACCTGCAGGATTGCTGGCAGCACAAGCAGGGTTATTTCCTGTACCAACGTTATGTTCTACTGTGTTGCTCCTTTCTGTCCCACACAGGCTGAAGAATAATGCAAGTTATGTGGCAACAACCTGTGAAGTGATATCCTGCTTATTTCAGAGCTTACCTCAGCCATCTGTGTTGCAGTGTCACCTTTTGCACCCAGGTAGACCATGGCGAGAGCAGTTGCAATACTCCAAGGAGAGAAGAAAATGTTTTGGCCTCTGGAAGTTTCATTCAGCTTTTTGTAAAGGTCCAGAGTAAAGCTGTTGGTTGACACTGAGAGAGACTCCATTGATACAGCCTGAGACAAATGAGTGTCAGAGAGTGGTGATGACTGCTTCTTCACTTCCTTTAACAAATACAAAGCTGCTAGTGGGAGATAGTCTGCACCTTCTCAAGTAGTGTGAGGGTGTCCCTGTAATGGGTAAAATACTGCACAGAGACCAAGTACAGTCAGCTAGTAGGTCTCCTTTTAAGACCTGCACTATTTTTCCCTTCTCCATCACTCCTCCATGTCCTCAACCTTTTAGTTATGCTTCATCAGATGAGCACAATTTTAGCTAGAAATGTTTTCACAGACCCAATTTATTTCAAAACCCCATTTACTTAACTTTCATAATTCTTCAGTTGTGAGGGAGTGAAACAAAATCATTTGTCACTGTGCTGCTTTGAGCTTTTTTTTATTTCTTTAAACTTCCTGTACTGTTATTTTCTGCTGAAAAATCATGGTGAATTCATGTGATTCAGTACATGTATCTTGAAGGCTACTAAAGAGCTATAGATTATTATATGTTCTTGGTGTAGGTAAACCCACATTTTACTTACTGTTTTTCAAGTAAACTCTTGTATCTTATGTGCAACCCCATATAGTTTGTGTTCTAAACAAAAAATTTCCCCCCCTTTTTTTTTCTGCTTTCTGATCAGAACCTTTTCCATCCTTGTTTTATTTCTTTTTCTAAACATGATTTTACAAGACAAAACTAAAGCAAATGGAAACAAACCAACCACAGGATTAAACTGATTTTCCATATGTGGATCCAGGTCTTATTAGCATATTTTATATCAGTCTAATAGCCTTGACAAATATTAGGATAAATTCAGACATTTCTGTTATCTTCACCAGTAAAAGGACTACTAAAACATGTATTGAAGTCAGTGTAAGATGGCATCAGGTGAAAGGTTAAGCATTAGAATAACAACAGCAACTGGATATTTTAATCTATTTTCACCCACAAGTTACATGCTTAAATCAAAACCTGCTGTCCTCAAAGCCAGCTGCCGTGCAGTGTTAGAGATGTCCAAAAACTGAGATCCTTAAGGACTCCACAAATGCTCTGAAACATTCTCAGTGGTGTTTGAGGTGCATGCCCTGCAGCCTAGGTCACACCTAAGCACTTCTAGGACCCTCAAATCAGATCTATCCTACTGCTGTGCCTGGAGAAGTTGATACTCCCAGAGCATATCTAGGGAACAGGGCTGAGCTGAACATTTTTGCCTGAAGAATTTCAAACTGACTTCTCCATCTCCTGTTCCCAGAATACCTAAACTGAATCTGCATGGAGCAATCAAGCTTTTCTCAGACTTGAAAGAGAGAGCAAGCATGTGTGTGTTTCTTTGAGGTTCACTGGTTCTATTAGGCATTTCAGTCATCTGGGAAAGGAAATGTCTGGATGCCTGTTCCAGTAGCTATTTGATATTAGTGAAGTAGAGGCTTGAACCAATGCACACAATGCTGAGCATCCAAAACACCATGCTACTGAGTCATGTTGTCTTGTGTGCTCAGTTCCAGGATCAGCAGAAGGTGTTCCCTCCTGCAGCTTGTTCTCAGTCCTCTGACCCTAAATTGACTGGTAACCTTCTGACAGCTGAGGAAAATCTCTGCCCTCTCAGGCTATGTAGGTTTTGTCTAAGCTGAGCTTGTATTGTGCCCACTGTGCCCTGGCAGAGGGTTTTCCTAAGGGCTACAGTTTGTGTTAAAAAATGAGCACTCCCTTCCTCTGACTTTTACACCACCATTTAATCACTTAGTTCCAAAGAATTTAATGTGAATTTGCAAGACTTTCAAAGTAAAGCTAGTTATTTTGATATGAATATTTACACTACCTGAAATCTTGAGGGAGAGAAGAATTAGGATCTGTCTTCAGTCAGGATCTCTGGTGGTCTGTGAAGCAATGAACAGTTTTGGAAATGTAGAAGTGTTTGCACCTCCCTTTTCTTCTCTACATCCTATGCTTGTACTAACGTACATGTTCCCTCATTTATTCCTTTAAACAAGGTTGATTAGCAATTCTCCAGGTTTACTCTGCTCTTATCTGTATGACTTCTATTAAAACTGCATTGATGCATTTCCTTTGCAATTGTTATATGTCTTTTCTGCTACATTTATGATTAGTTAGGAATGGCGTCTGCCCACTAGTATGACACACACAGAGTAAACCAATTACCAGCATGCAGTCATGTGTAAAAAGCATTATTATAAAGTGTACAAGTCCATATTTTGAACTAGAATTACAATTTTGTGCTTATAGTCACTTCAAATCTGACTGGTAAGTATGCCATACAGGGGTTCAGGAGGCATGATACACATGCCTCCTTTTTCACGCATTTTGTTTTTAACTGTGTGCAGGTTTTGTGCCTGGAATATCCATCTTATTTTCTTGCTTTGTAAATGTATTAGACACTATTATGTTCAGTTATGTGTTTGAGAAATGTTTCTGCTATGTATTTGAAACTGCTGTTGTCTGTTTTTTAGCTAAATGAGTAAGAGAAGTAAAAAACCTGAACATCAGTTAGTGGTACTACGATGTATAAAGATTGGCCAAAAATACAGGAAAATGTAGAAAGGGTACCCAAACTGTGTAGACACTCTTTGTGGTATACTCCAGCTGGTGCAAGATCCTGTTTAGCAAGAGAGAGAAGTTTCAAAGGGGAGAAAACTGGCTGAATAAAAGGTGCTCTTGATTTTGCTGTGCCAAATGGAAATAGCAAGAGGAAATAAGTGAATTTCTGCAACCAGAAGGGTAGAAACAAAGTTTCACAGCATCACAACACCTGATGTGTTGACATCAAAGGATTGACTTCTGACAAATGGTCATAAAAAGTCTTTTGATAAAATTAGCATACTGATGAAGAAATTATTTTGGCCTTTTTTAAAGCCATCTTTTGTCCCCATCTTGCAGAGCGTGGGTGTGAGGTCTTTCTGTCTGTTTGATGACACTCCCTGACTCTCCCATAACTGTACCTTGTAAATGGTCCACTCTGAGTGGGCCATTTTGGCATTTATTGAAGATCGATTCTTTTCCAGTTACATGCAGTAAAAAGGAGCACAGTTTAAAATCTGTGCTAGACTAAGTCCAGTTACGGATTTTTACTTTGCAGGAAGTCCCATTCATCTGTATTCTACAGGACTACTGGAAGGTGTGCTCTTTGGCATCATCTTCCAAGCAAAGCTGAAGCTGGGAGTAGCTTGGTAAAACCAGCCTGTTTGACCCTTTGCACTTCTCAGCAGCTGGCAGACACGGTTCTGTAGTTCCCTAGGGACCCTTCAGAGGTATTGCTTTGCAGGGCCTTGCAGTGTGGTGTAAGTGAGGGGATGTACAGAAATTAGCATGGAAAGACCTTTCAATCAATTTGGCATGGAACTCTTCTCACCTCTTTCAGCAACTTTTGCTCTTACATGAAGTGTCTCTTCAAACTGGTTATACCCAATTTAGGAGTTCCCCATTATTACTTCTTGTTGAACACACACAGCAGAGACATAGGATTAACGTGATATAAGGCTGAGTTAACATGCTCACCATCCTGGTGAGTCTTTGCTGTACAGGCATTACTCAAGTGGAAGAGGGCTGGTCTTTGCTGCTCCCTAGAAGAAGCTATGTTGTTAGTTGTTACCTTTCAGTTTTTAATTAAAAAAAAAAATTGAGATTTTATACCTCCTTGTGCAAGTGTGTCATTTCCTGAAGCCTTGCTATGCTGTTATTCTATCCTGACAGTAACTTCAGTCTGTGTGTTTTTACTTTTCTGTTTTACATGGCCTTCACTTGTGTGCTTTTCCATACTTAAACAACAAACTTCTTAGTAAAGCTGAGTCAATAACACAAAACTGGGCTGCATCAAGTTAGGTCCTTGGTGACAGACAGCTGAACCCTGACCTGAGGATTGCAGACAAGGGAGGCACTGGTTGTAGAAGCAGCACTTCGTACAGGGAAGAAGATACAGGTATATTTTTTCGTGTGGAGATGTATTTCAAATAGAATACCTTTTGTGGAGGTGAAGTGGGTTGTAATTATAGGTGGAATTTTGCTGAGAGTAAATTTTTTTCACAGAAACTCCCTCCTGTATTCACATCTTGCCTTAGATAATGTTATCTGATGTGTGGCTAGAGTCCCACAATGGCTACAAAACTTTTTGCTGTTCCCTATGGCCACAGGAAAGCACAACTGCTTCCCTCTTAAGCCAATGGAAGGAACCAGTGTTGCCAGTAGAGCGTTGCCTGTTCACTGTTCTACATGGATGAAAGGGATGCTTGGAAGGTGCTCTTCTAGGCTATAGGCTATAGGCTCTAGTCAGACTTTTTATTAATAGTGTGTTGTGACAGATATGTTTAGTAAATGCCTAGAATAACATGGTGAACAACAGTGTTTCGGGGGCTGTTTGAAGCCTAGTGGAAGTAAGACACTACTGTATTAAAGTGCCTCAGTTTTGTCAACTGGGATGATGTAGTGGTTGACTTGGAATGGCAAGAGTGGAAACATGCTCTGGCCATGCTCCTTACAGGATGCTTTAAGAGAACCAGATAAGTCAGTGTCCTGAATAACACAAACACAACTCCGGGTTAATTTATTGTATTAAATGCAGGTCATGGTAAAATTATGAAGTAAAGCATCAATCAAAATCTCACTGGTGTTTCTATCAATGCTATGGCTATCTTTGCTGAGATGCACTCATAAGTTACTAATCATATACTGGGAAAAAATACAGATAGCAAGGAAACCGTGCAGATATTAGCCAGGAAACAGGTATAATTAGGTAAAATTAAAAAGAGGGAGGAGGTTTGAATTCTGATGTTTTAGATTGCATATCAACAGGAAGTAGCAAAAAAGCATGTTGCTCATAGTTTTCTTAGCATTTTTCTGGTTGAAACTCTCAGCAACCTTAAACTACAAAGTTGAGAAAAATGAGGAAAAATGCAAGGAGATTAGAAGTCAGCAATTAAATGTTAAGGGCTGGACTATTTGCCTTCACTGCCTTGTTTTTTCACGAAGCTTTGGGGGCAGGAGAGGAGGAATTTAAATTTCTATATATGCGTTGTAAGGAGAAGGTATAGGGTATTTTGAGATTATTCTGGGTTTGTATTATTATTTTTTTTCTTTAATTTCCAACAATCTGATTTTTCTCTCTGGGAGATTCAAGAGGGCAAACTGCATTTCCCTTGAAGACATATTTGGCGTAAGGCTGGGTGAAAGCCTGTGGGCAGAGAGCTTTTATGGCTCCACCTTACTCCCAAATAAGAAAGCCGGAAGAGCAGGTTTGATGTAAGGGAGCAAAACTCTGCACTTTTGTTTTCTGTGGAGGGCTGTCTGATTAGGACAATTAGGAGCAGTAGAGGGGTGGTCTTTGAGGCACAGGGTGGTTTCTAGGTGCTGCCTCTACTTTGGAAGGAAGAAAAAGAACATAACACTTTCAGCACATATGGCTACATGGCTTATGGTTGAGCTTTTAACACTGCAGTTCATATTTTTCCATTGAACAGTGAACATAGGATGCTGTCTAGGAGCAAGTAATAACTCATTCTAGGGGAGAGCAGAATCTGCCAAAGAAAAGGATGCACCTGGATTTGTTGTGTCTGATGAAGAAGTGGAAAGGGTGGTCAGCCTTAAATTTCAGAGCATGGCTAACCGGTGCACTTGTTACAGTTACAGTTACAGTAGCAGCAGCTGCCTCAGTGCCTTTCTCATCAACTGCAACAAAAGACCTGTGAAGAATTTTGGAGATGAGCACACCACCCTTCTCAGCCATTCCACTGAAATCAGCATTGCTGCTGAAGGCACTGCGTATTCCCATGCTGCTCAGATTATCACCGAGGTCGTATCTCTCCTCCAGTGTGAACTTAGGTAGGTACAGATCCACAAGAGTTTCAGTCATCTTCTTGGAATCAGTCCATTCGGACAGCTTCTCGTACGTCAGTTCTCTCTCCAGCTATCATTTAAGACAGAGAAGGAATTTGATGTTTACAAGGGAAAAAACAATTTCCTAACAATGAATTAGTCAATTTCATGACAATTTAATGGATGAAACAATCTTTAAATGGCAAATCTAGCATTTGGCTGAAAGCACAAAATATAGATTGGTTTCTCTGATGATCAGAGGCAAGGTGTGCAACAAATACCTGAACCTTAGTGCTGTACAGTTTTGAGAACCACTTCTCCAAAATTCCTTGCAAAAGAAAAGACAGGGCACTCAATAACTGCCATCCCCTAAGGCAGTTCTTTCATAGAATCAACTAGGTTGCAAAAGACCTTTAAGATCATAAAGTCCCACATTTACCACAAGACTGCCAAGTCCACCACTAAACCATGTCACTGTCTTTAAATTCAGTGCTGATGTGAAGGGAATTGCTAGGATATTGCCAGTGGTGTAGCAAATGGTTTGGTCCAGTTCCATAGAAACAAGTTTTAATATTGCACCTATTTGCTTGGCAATTTTAAAACAGACTGATTCCAGCAAAATCTTTCACTGCCATTCTCTGCCCTCAGCCTTATGTTACCAGGGTTTAGCTCAGATCAAAAGAAGGAGAGCAATGGCAGGTATTCTTGAAATAATAGAGGCCAAGAATTTTAATGTCTTGCAATTATAATAACTACAGTGGCAGATTTCATTATTGTAGCAAATCAGTCACATCAAAATCCTAGTTTTTCAGGCAGCAAACGAATGTGCGTGTGACAAGCAGAATGAGAACAAGATGGGTAGTAAACTTCCAGGTCATGGAGAAGAGGTGACTGTTATCTCAGGAGGAAACTGTGACTACTTGTACAGTACTGTCACTTCTGAATGGGCAATGAAAGGAGATTTAACCCTTACAGATCATGTGGGATTGAGTGTCAGTCATGGGACTGTAAAGAGCTAAGCATCTGCTTATGCACAGTGTTGACTGTTTTCAGTTATTACCAAACTAAGGGCACTCACTGTGGAGG